GCAGTCACTCTGTTCAGTCCTAAAAATTACTCTGCAGATGTATGTTCCCGACTCAGTAGTCAAAGAGTCGACTGACCGCACTTCAGTTCTGGACTGTGGGTTTGTGAATGGTGTTGACTTTTACAGAAATTGTAGTTGTACTGAATAAAACACTTAATATACTGTGAGTGAGTTTGAAAACTTGATGTGGAGCTGCTTCCTGTAGTTTGTACAATGCACCTCTCATCATTTAAAGAAGGAATCTTTTTGATAAACGTCTGTTTCTATAAGAAGTGGACATTAACCACTGGTCCATAACCCTCCATTGAAGCCTAAAGTATGACAGCTTGAGTCTCCTCCATGTGTGAACTACAGGGTGGATACACATTGTAACATCTCTATCCTGATTCAGAGATCACTATGAACCTTAATTACATCGCCGGCTGTGCCTCAGTGGTAGAATCAGTCGTCTCTCATCCAAAAGGTCGGGGGTTCAATCCCAATAACCCTAACCCAGCCACATGTCGATGTGTCCTTGGGCAAGACACTTAACCCCAAGTTTCTGAATGTGTATGAACAGTATTAGTTAATACTGATGGACACTTACATAGCAACCTCTGCCATCAGCGTCTGAATGAGTGTAAATTAGTAAATGTGACCTGAGGTGTAAAACTGCTTTGAGTAGTAAGAAGACTAGAAAGAGACCTACACAAGCTCAAGTCCATTTATTATTTCCATGGCAGCCTTTTTATTTTTATGTCATGCCCAGGTTAGAAGCTCAAATGCTGCTATAATATGGCACTGATATGATTCATATTTCTTTTAAAGTTAAAAGACCATATGAAGTTACAAACTGAAAATAAAATCTGGGTATATTTTAAGATACATTTTTTTTTTAATAATCCATTCATATTGGTCAAATAACAGCTTACGTTAGCATCCAGCAACCTTAGATAATATTACTGCCAGCTGTAGGGGAGTAGTTGAAATGTAATATTGACAGTTGCTTAATAAGGATGAATAAGGAGAGGGTATACATTTGTAGCCAACATAATGTCCGTGGGTAGTAGTAGTTGAATGCTAGCATTAGCTGAAGTCTAAAGGTAGTTAGTGTGAAAATGTGTTTTTTTTACTTTTAAATATGTCCAGAGTTCCCTCCACATTTTCTCTGTCGACTGTATTTTCATTGGTTTATTCATCAAAATATTTATTAAAATAATATGAATGTCGGGCACACAATATTTTTGACTAACACTGATATTCACCGGAACAACACTATGAGAGCTCATTAGCTTCTCACCCTGACAGGGGCTTTCAGAGGGAAATGGCTGCTGTGTAAATATGGTGAATAAAACGAATCACTCACAGGTTCACCGCACCTTAAATTATAACCTGCTCTGTATTTCAGAATACATGGAACCATAATTTACAAAGGACCATCATGCTGGATTGATATAGACTTAAACGGGCAACTGTGACTGTTTGGGAAAATGTTTACTCAGGAAATGAAGCACAGGTAGCTCATTTTCTGTCTGTTTCATTCAGTCCTACTCAGTCCGACTTCTTGTCCAACCAGGTAAGTCTCCCCCCTGTTGACTTCACTTTTGATACCAAGAGGCTACGTCCACTTTTTATATAAAATCTTTGGTCTGCTCTCTGTAGCAATATGTCCCTCTGTTGCAAATGGAATAAGATATCATTATAGGATAATGGCTTTTGCTATGACTCATCCCGTCAGTGTACGTAAGAGAAGAGCTCTTATATTGTATTTCCACTCCTTGGTAGCATTCATTACGCTTTTATGATAAAGATACACTGTTTTGAAGGTGTTCTGAATCATGACAGGCTAGATTTATCAGCAGAAGCAGCAGTTATTATCAAATGTGTTGAGAAACTGACACAATATTAAGTCAGTATTTCTACTTTACATTTCCCTCCACTAGTCGCTCACTATCTGTCTATTTTCTCTCATCCATTCATGTCTTCAGCCTGTATCTTTACTTAGAGGTTGATGACTCTCCTCACAGTTCCTTGGCCGTTACCTACAGCAAGTGTTGAATATGCATGAGTTCAGCCTCATAAACTGCTGCTCTCAGCGCTAAAGTCAGTAGGAAGACCAACTCAGCAGATGGGGGGATCAGAAAGAAAACTTAAACTGAAAGAGAGGAGAAGAGAGAACGTGTTTGACTTATCATTCATGGTGGAAGATCAACCAGATTTCCTCTCTTCATGTTGCTCTTGCACCAGGAGGCACTAGCTCATGCTAGCATGCTACACTCGACGCTGACTTTGTGTTGCATGCAGCTGTTTGTGTACTTGAATATGGAAGTGCTTGATTGTGTGTATGCAAGTGCTTTTGTGAGTGTCTTTCCATATCATTTTGCCTGAAGCTCTGGACAGTTGCCAGGCAACAGTGGCGGGGAGGCTTAGCACTCAACTGGGCAGCCGCGGAGCAGACACACTTCACATGCCTTTGGTTCTGATGAGCGGCACAGGTCAGCGCTGATACGTTACCAGGTCAGAGTCACATCAGGCTAACAGCGGCGATGATCTAAGGATAATACAATTACACAGCAAACATGCAGAGTGTGTCTTGATTAATCGGAGTCACCCATTCAAGCTAATACTTCTGCTAACAAGATTTCTGTGTATTTAATTATCCATACAACACATACCGCTGCACTATGGGAGAGCTAATGCTGTTACTTAAAAAATGGTTATCCTATGATTTATTTAATCTCAATTTAATCAAGCAATGGTTTCTCATGATTATTATCTCATTATCAAAAAGTAAAAAGATTATAGTATTTTCTTTTCACAAATCATCTTTTGTGGTGGCATACAGTGCTGCTATTAGACCTACAAACGCATACATTCGTTTTCTGAAGACTTCAAGGTTGTCCAGTGATAACTAAGAAGAACGCAAGTAAAACATGGTTGTAATTATCATCTGTGTTTTAGCTGTTTAAGTACAACTTCCAGGTCACTGAATCTGTGCACCAACATGAAAACATGTTTATTTTCTAGGTGCTTTCATCCCTTCAGGGGCATTTAGATAAAAACACAGTTAGTGAAGATTTTAGCCGAGGTCGACCTTAATCTACAGAAGATTTAATAATGGCGGTTGACACAAAAAATACTCAGGCAGTTTGTTTATGAAGGTCAGATACATAATTTCCCCAATGTGGGATGTAGGCTTGGTTTCCAAGGCTGTTATTTATTGGAGGCCCATAAGTGTTTATTTCCCTTAGCGTGTAATGCATGTAATGAAAAAAGAACTATGGTTAAAAAAAATATTTTACCAAATGTACCCGGGATTCTTAACCTTCTCTTTTCAAATGAACAGTAATAAGACACCAAGGCATTTTCACATTTTCCTTCCGTGCAACATTTAAATAAATACAAAAATACGGAGGACATCCAAATCATCACCAAGCCATCCCATGTTTCCTCCCAAATATAAACCAAAGAAAAAAATAAAATGAAGAAATAAAAATGAGCGCTCTTTGGCTTTATAGTCAGCATAGAATTTGGACAGCGCTCTGTCCAATGAATCATATCCAAACCAGGGGAATCCAACAAAAACACTCCAGATTCCGAGTGTTGTTGACTGTAGTGTAAGTACAGTGAAGAGTGTGCAGTGAGACATGTGTGTGTGTGTGTTTGTGTGTGTATGTGTGTGTAATACAGAGTGTTGAAGAGAGGTCAATTTGGCAGGTTATCATCACCATCATCATCATCAACACGGCTGACATTATAATCATCAACAATTAAACTTCATTTGCTGTTCAACACACTTGAGAACATGCTGCCTGTCCTCTTATACCATCTGTCTCTGTGTACTCCCTATACTGAGCTTTATGGCCGTCCATTCACCAAACAGCCTTCACTGCACCTCCATACTCTTTTCTTCACACAAGGAAACTCACTAAACAAGAATCTCTTTAAATATTCATGCAAGGTAAACATTTACTATTTACCATACTTATTTAGAAGACAGTTTATGTGCCATGTGTTCACTGTGTAAAGCCATAAATGTTCAGTATTGTCTTTCATCTAGTTTCTATTTAAGTAAGTCTTCTAAATAAAGAAAGAGTTGGTGGATTTTTGTTGTTTGTGCTCCAAAGACCCTGGAAAAAAAAAGTAAAGTTGTTTTCGAATGTAGAAATTGAAGTTACACATAATGGTTGGTAAAAAGCTATTTAACAGTTTCATCACAATTCAAATATTTCCACATTTTATATTACCTTGACTGACTTCAAATTTCAGTTTGGGCTAGTTTGTAGATGTTTGTATAACATGAGATCATGTTTATTTTTTAATGTGCGTCCATTTCGGACAGAAAAATATAATAAGAATGTTTACTGAGGACAGCCATTCCTATCTGGAAATTCATTGACAGATATGACACTTTTATGCTCATGCCCCCCCCCCCCCTTTTTTTTCTATAAGTACTCAACCACTCATCTATATGGAGTGCGTTGTTGTTTTAATATTTTGGTTCTCTTGGTATTTAAGTAAAAAGAAAACAGTCCAAATTTGAAGAGCTGCTCTGGTTTCACAGTTAAACTGCTTGTTTTTGCTTGTAACACGTGCTGTAATTATAATATCATAAGAACAAAGGATTCTGTTTGTGACATTTTGTTCCATTTATTTAGTCTTGTTGTGGGTGTGCACCTACTTTTTAAATGTGTGTCCTGGAAGTAGGTGAAACATGCCGTCTGTTGCTCTCCTCCTCTCTCTGCTGACAAGTTCTCTTAACTGTCTTGTACTTCCAGCGTGGGTATTAAAAATGAGTAATTTGGCAAGCTTTGTGTGTGAAATCTCCTCAGACATGCAGAGAGTTTCAGACGAGACATACCTGACAATGACACAATGCCATCTTCTGTTTATGTGGGACATAATGAAAACAGGATTGTGTTATTTTGTGGCCTTGAATTTTATCCCTGCTCCATCTTTAACAGATAATCAGTATTTTCTTCCTCCTTTCCTCTCTGCGTCTGTTCTCATTTACCCTGCAGGTTTTCTCAGCACAGGGGACCAGTCTGCAAAGGGGAACTATGGCCTGTTGGACCAGATCCAGGCCCTGCGCTGGCTCAATGAAAACATCGGCCACTTTGGAGGAGACCCAGAGAGAATCACCATTTTTGGTTCGGGAGCTGGTGCCACCTGTGTGAACCTCCTCATCCTCTCCCACCACTCTGAGGGTGAGTTAGCAGTCATATACCCTGCTCAAAGGGGATTAACACATCAGGACAGTGTGGGCAGTGTATCTCTCTCCAGAGCATGTTAGTAATTTCAATGAACAGCCTCAACCAAATCAAAATGTACCACAATATCATCCCCCCAAAGTGAAAGGAGGCAATATTTGGGGATGAGTCATCCACTGTTTACAGCAGTAAAGATTCTACATATATTTTCAATAAACATAGAAACACAAAAGGTTCATTCAATTTCAAAGATAAAGAAAAAAAAAGTCATTCTGGTCAGTTCTGGAGTCGACAGATGGATGAAAGCAGTAGGTTGTTTTAATAAAACCATTACTCACCTTGGGACACAAGCCTGTAATAATCCCTCCCAAAAAAAGGTAATTCCACCAGGGACTACGATCATGGAGCTACAGTGACAAAATAGTCCCTCTCTGTTAAAACTAATCCTGTCCAGACAACGCATCAGGAAAAGATGCTATTTATATTTAACCTACTTTTAAATCTCCCTCTTGGGCTCCAAATGAAGAGCATTGTCTGGTTTTGTTCAGTGGTTACAAATATATACACATTATATACAGTATCATGTTTTTCAGGTTTCATTAAGTCTAATAGTTTTAAATGTTGTTTTTGAGCATGCTGATTGGTTCAAAGCAGACACAAAATAAACGTGTGTCGCTGATGATTGTTGGTCTTTGAAAGATGCATTTCAAACTAATCCCTTAAATTACTAGATGGGCAGTTTAAAAAAAATCCTTCTTAATCAATAATCTTGCATTTAGTTCTTCCAACAGTGAAAATACTGAATCCATTCTCATCCCTTATGATTCTCTCATTTCAATGAAAAGTGCCACGAGTTCAGAACTCAATTTAAGGGTTAAATAAAAACCAATATGAAATTGACTTTACTAGTTGTTACAAAACTTTTTTCCAACAATGACAGCCTTCACAGGATTATTTTACCATGTCATAATAAACCCACCCTACTCCTCCTGGTTCAATAAGGGTTTTTGAGTGAAGCTTTAAATCAGGAGTACAGACTGATATGTATAGAGGCCTGTTCTTAATCACTCCAGCAGCTTTCTGTTTGTGCACATATGCAAATAACTCAAGTATGCTAGTTTGATAAATACAGTTCATTCATTTATGTTGAAAAATACACTTTCTTGTTTTAGGTTTTCTATGAAAAGCCGCATTTTTCCTCTTGCACTTTAATTGTATGTAAGAATGTCTAAATGTAATGTCCCTGACAAATAATCTGATAAATACATACAAAATCTGACTGGTCAGTGAAAATCTGTGGTCAGTTCTATTCGACCACATATTCAGGTTCTCACTATTGGTTCTAGCTCATATTTTCATGTGAACATAATCCATACAATATGCTGCTGACACCACACCTACGTCTTCACCATTAACTGACATTTGACCTCTGACTGCAGCTTTTTCTCTCTCTGAATGACTCTCTGGGTTTGTTTCAATGTTTTACTTTAAAATACTGCAGGAATGAGATCTGTTTGGCTTACTGTCTTTAGTTAATGTTGTGTATTTTAGGCCAGATTATGGCGTGTTTTCGCTCATGTTAACGGTTTGTGTAATGCAAGAAATAAAAGAAAACATCAGCATTATTATTATGGGTCAGTGTGCAGAGATTTGTTGCACAAGATCTTCTTCTACTCCATTTATAAGCCAGGCTGTAACACCACGTAGTGAAGGAAAAGTTGGTGGGTGAACAGTTTAAGATACTGTGCGCAAGAGTGTGTGAGCGCATGTGTGTGTGCTTGTGTGTGTGTGTGTGTGTGTGTGTGTGTGTGTGTGTGTGTGTGTGTGTGTGTGCATGTACAGAGCAGAGATGAGATGAGGAGCAGAGCTGGGGCTGCAGCTGAGAGGCTTCTTAATTGATTTCACAGGGAGAGGAGCGGGGGTGGGGCACATGCAGAATATGGGGGGGCTTAATTATTAATGACAGAATCTGCAGATAAAACAGAGGGACAGCAAGCCACTTTACATAACAGTGCAGCGGTGCAACAGTGCGAGCAGTTTTCATTCTCTCCCTCTCTCTCTCTCTCTCATTCTGTCTCTCTCGCTTTCCCCAACACGGCCATCAAGACTACTGCCGTGTGTGGAGTTGTCACCATTTTTCTTGCTCCTGTCTCTCCTTGTATGTAATGGAAGCGATTCATTTCCCTTTCCCTAATGTTCGTAAAGATTTTCTCTGGCTATAAAAAGCAGCAGGATATCTACTTCATCTTGCTTCATATGTAATTCTCTACAATCGCTCCTCCTCCAACATATGCATTATTTAAAGCATGCACACTGTAAGGCCTTGAAGGCCCCGTCAGTTGCTGGCAAAAGTGTGTCAGAGGAAGAAAAAAAAGCTACACTTAGAGAGGAAAAAGTCAAAATCTATCTCCCATCTGAAGATGTTTCTGCTTTGTATGTGCAGGTTTGTTCCAGAGAGCCATCGCACAGAGTGGCTCAGCCATCTCCAGCTGGGCGGTCAACTACAGACCCGTCATGTATACCAAGATCCTTGCGAGAAAGGTCGGCTGCACTCTGGGGGACATGGCCGCCTTGGTGGACTGCCTGCGGAGGAAAAATTTCCGGGAGCTGGTGGACCAAGACATCCAGCCCGCACGCTACCACATCGCCTTCGGGCCGGTGGTAGACGGAGACGTGGTGCCTGACGACCCTGAGATCCTCATGCAGCAGGTCGGAGCTGATCAGTCAGTTTGTGTGTGTGTGTGTGTGTGTGTGTGAATATTTTCAGTGCTGTCACTTCATGCTGCGTGTTTATTTTCTTCATAAACTCCAGGGAGAGTTCCTGAACTACGACATCCTGCTCGGTGTCAACCAAGGAGAGGGTCTGAAGTTTGTGGATGACAATGAAGGAGAAGATGGACTATCTGCTGCAACGTTTGACTATACAATCTCCAACTTTGTGGACAATCTATATGGATACCCTGATGGTCAGATCCTACCCTTTTTACCTAAATATAACTCTTTAGATTGAAACTCACGTCTTTTTTGGCATATGTTGTTGAACTCTATGGTGGTGGTATGTACTTAAAATGATACTGTAACTAAAACAGAGCCAATTCAGATGTACATGTACACTTGAAATGATCAGAACGCTACTGTAAAAGATGTCATTGATTTAATTATTTTAACTTCATTCATGTGCTGTATTAACAACACAGTTTTGTAGCAGATGATAGAATTGCAAACTATAGTCTAATAAAAAAACATACCAACTTCTGGTGACCATACTTCTCCAATAGCATAGTCTGACTGAAGAGCACCATCTAGGCAGGAGAAGACTAAATGAATATACAAAAATTCACATCTTATGTTCATTACCGTAATTCATGACTATGACAAAGAAAGAGCGACAAAGCAAATGTAAACCAACAATGAAGGCAAACAGGAAACTGACAATATCTTAATTAGCTAAGGAAAAAGCATATACATGTTCCATTTCGGTGGAGATAACTTGATTAATAAATTAAGATAATACAAATTCAAAGATACAAAAAAAAGTCCAAATACCTAGTCATTACCTATACCTAAGTCCTGTAAAACCATGACAACAGAGGTTGGAAGATTTAAATCCATTATTCTAGCTGTCCAATAGTTAAATGTATATTTGATAGGAGGGGATGTTTGTTTGTTTTTTTAGGAGGAAAATGCACTGAAATACTCTGCATCCATACTTATATGAACTTCTGTTTTTCCAAGGTAAAGACATCCTGAGGGAGACTATAAAGTTCATGTACACAGACTGGGCGGACAGGGACAACACTGACATGCGTAGGAAGACCCTCCTGGCTCTGTTCACGGACCATCAGTGGGTGGCCCCCGCTGTCGCCACGGCCAAATTGCACGCAGAGTTCCAGTCGCCTGTCTTTTTCTACACCTTCCACCACCACTGTCAGACCGAGGCCAGGCCCGAGTGGGCGGACGCGGCCCATGGAGACGAGATCCCTTACGTGTTTGGTATCCCCATGGTGGGAGCCACTGACCTGTTTCCCTGTAACTTCTCCAAGAACGACGTGATGCTCAGCGCCGTGGTCATGACTTACTGGACCAACTTTGCAAAGACGGGGTTAGTTTGATGAAAAGTGTATGATCCGATCAAGTGCGTTTATCTTATTGAATATAAAGTAATACACTGAGTATACTGTATACAGCTCATACTGTAAGTAACTCAGCAGTGATTTCACCTGTTTGTTCCTTAAGCCTATTCTTAAAGTCATATTTGATGATTTTATTTCATCCTGGGAATACTGATCATCTACTGAAGTTAAAGTCAGAAATTATGTTAAGTTATAATTCAAATAAAACCGTTTTTTGAGCTTTTGAAAATATAGTGGGTCTAAACATTTGGGTTGAAGTAGGGCCGGGAAGTAAAACAATACCGATGCAGGACAGGGATTTCATTGATTTTTATTATAATGGTGGTAACCTTTGCTGGTTTTCTACTCTACGTTGATAGATCCGAAAAATAAACGTAAACAGCCAGTCTTTCTGTTTGATTAGTTTTGAATCGTACCTCTGTCATTAGTCAAATCCATGCTTTATTTTTCTGTGCAAGACAGTCCAAAACAGTTTGTAGATCTGGTTCATTTTAAATAATGTAATTTAATTGAATGGATTTCAGTCATTGGAAGTCTAAAATGAAACAAGCTGAGCTAAAGTGATTGCCAGTTTGGCTTGCTGCCTTTGATTTATCTGGTTTTGTTAAAGTAACTGAAGAATAAAGGAATTAAGCCTATTTAAGATGGACTACTTAAGAACAGGTTAACAACTTGAGCAGAATCATAATCTAAAGTTAAGCTAATGAGCATCTCAGCTTGATGAAAGTAAATAGCCTGTTAGCATGTTATCGTCTGTCGTGGTTGAAAATGGATCATGGTCATATTTTGGCCATGTTGTCCAGCCATGGTTGAGACTGTGTGAAAACAACAAACAGAGCTTGTGCTCTGTCTTCAGTTGTTCTTTGTCCTAATGTTCAAATCAATAGCACACCAGTGAGTAGTCTCAATATCTCATGTGTTTCAGTATAATAATAAAGTGCAGTATTAACACAGTTAAAGCTCAACTTAGAAGTGATTAATAACGTTTTTATTTCTCTCCTCCAGGGATCCCAACCTACCTGTTCCTCAAGACACCACGTTCATCCACACCAAGCCAAACCGCTTTGAGGAGGTCATCTGGACAAAGTTCAGCTCCAAAGACAAGCAGTATTTACACATCGGCCTGAAGCCTCGTGTCAGGGACAACTACCGCGCCAACAAGGTGGCCTTCTGGCTGGAGCTGGTGCCTCATCTGCACAGCCTCCACAAGGAGATCATCAGCTCCATCACCACTCGACTGCCGCCCGGAGGAACCAACCGCTGGAAGGCCACCCAACGCCCTGGCGGCCATTCCACACCCGCACCACCAGATCCTGACCCCGACAGCTCAGAAAGACCCCGCTATTCCCCCTTCCCCAGCGAGACGAGGGACTACTCCACCGAGCTGAGTGTGACGGTGGCCGTGGGCGCTTCGCTTCTTTTCCTGAATGTGCTGGCATTTGCCGCACTGTACTACAAGCGAGATAAACGCCATGAACTCATGCAGAGACGCCACCGCCGACTGTCCCCACAGCGTGGCACCACCATGGGCATGGGAGTCGGCATGGGAGTGGTCGGGTCCCCTCCTCACAACGACCTGGCGCTGAGTCAGGAGGAAGAGCTCATGTCGTTGCAGATGAAGCAGCAGAGAGTGGAGCTGGAGCACGGCACCCCGCTCCCTTCCCGCGCTCTCCACGGCGACTTGGAACCCTTGCGGCCCCCGGTGTGTCCGCCCGACTACACGCTGGCCCTGCGGAGAGCACCGGAGGACGTGCCACTGATGACAGCCAACACCCTCACCATGATCCCGAGCACCATCAGCGGCATGCAGCCCCTCCACCCCTTCAACACTTACCCCCCTGTCCCAGCCCCGTCCACTACACCCGTCCCCAGCCACAGCAACAATGCCCTGCCACACCAACACTCCACCACCCGTGTATAGGACCAGGCACAACCGCACAAACTGCTCCATACAATCTCCACCCTCGCCTCCCCTTTCGTCTTCACTTTACCTTTGTCTTTTTTCATTCAGCCCTCAAATAAAGCTGCAGTTTGTAAGATTGTAAGCGGTGGAATACCTCTAAAAATGTAAGCATAAATCAAGGGGGAGTTGATTGAAAAAGCTCCCTTGCCAAAAGCCTATCATTAAAGGTTTATACTGCTTTGCTCAACTAAGGTTATCTTGCTCATGAGAGCCACCAAATGCAGCTTAACCCCCTTTACACAATCAGTCAGTATTCTTCTGTGTAGCTTGGTTGTTTTTTGCGCATGTGTTGTTGGGTCAGTGTAAAACTATGTTTGACATAGCTGCATAAATCCATTCTCATTCATTTAGTGGAAAGATAATACAGTAGCGAGCAGCTTTGTATGAGGCAACATATGCCCCCTCAAGCTGTCTGTCATAAAGCGGTGATTTCTTGAAACTTACAAATTGCAGCTTTAAAGGCCCAATCTGGAAGTGGAACTTGGCACCCTGTGTTGAGCAGTGTCCCAACAGCTGTCTCTTTGTTTGGATTTTGGAGATATTTGTTTAGTGTGAAGTAAATCAACAGCACCAGAAGTACAAGGAGGATCTATTTGACATTCAAGTATTAGGTTTTTGGAAATTTAAAAGAGTATTTTCTGTGAATTTACGTACCTGTTTTTAGTTCTGTAGCGTTCCATATGCCATCAAAGATTAAAAATGAAGTATTGTATTTGAGACATTTCCAGATTGGGGCTTCAAGTGTTGGGCGATACAGGAAATACCTGAATCATTGTCAGTCTGTGGGATGCAACCTGGAATCCAGGCTGCCCATTAGAACTCACTGCATCTCGGCAGTAATCGCATTCATTACTTTATTTGTTCCTCGCTCATTATCTCTCTGTCTGTGTCCCTATTTCAGCCCATTTAACCACCTCTCTCTTTTCCGCCCTTTTTCCTCTCCACATCTGCCCTGGTAGCTCTTTTTAATTCAACCATCGACATCATCCACTTCCATCTTCACTTCTCTCCTTTTACTCGCAATCACTTCTAGACTCTCTTTTCCTTTTGGAGTCTTTTATACAAGAAAAAAAAAACACAAATGTAAATGATGTATTATTAATAAATTGTAAGGATATGAATGAAAAAAAAAAAGATATTCTGATATCTCGTTTTTACCAGCATTCTTGGTGCCAAGTACTGTGATCAAGTTCCTCTTTCACTGGCGTCCAGTGGAGCGCCTGGAGAGGTCCATCCTGACTCTATCTTACAAAAGGAAATACCATCATAAAAAGTGCCAACCCCTTCATCTTTCTGTTTGATCCACACACTTCAGTTTGTTTTTACTACACTCAATGTTGCACTGTGGCTGGTCTCTTCTTTAAAGGGAAATCAGATTCAATATATCCTTGTTTAAAAAAATAATAATAATATACATTTTTATTAACTTCTTTGCTGTGTGGGATATTTGCATGATTATTTTTTTATTTTAAAGAGTGTGGACGGAGAAGTATGTTTGTCATTTGATGATTTGCCTTTTTTTTTTCTTCATTTGTTTTCTTTTTGGAAAATCATTTTTATTTTTTATTTTAATATCAGCTGCACTTTGTGGTACTTGGGAAAGGGTATTAAAGTATTAAGAGATAACTATTGTGTAAAACTATGATTATAACAAAGAGTAAATATTTCCTCTTTATTTTTTTCATTTCCTAACACTGAGGCTGTGCCGCAACACTACCAGAGACTGATGAAAGACTTTTTTTCTTTGCGCCCTCTTTTCGCTCTGTTTCTCTATCTTTTGCAACTGTCAAGTCTACAGTCACTGTATCTCAATCTCACTTGAAGATAGCACTTTTTTGAGTTACAAGAAGAAGAAAAAAAAGAAACAACTACTTTACATGAATAGTCTAAATAAGGTTTTTGTCTGTGACTGACATTAACCACAAGCTTCAAGTGTTGGGAGACTGCCTGACGGTTTTATCTTTACGTCTGCTCTTTTGTTGTTTCATGATTCTCCCCCCCCCCCACAGCAATGCGGGGGTGGGGGGGATAGGATAAGATATTTATGATGGTCAAAAGGTGAGATAGCCTTGTATGCGCGTTTCACATCTTTCGCACAACTGAACACAGAGATGGGTCACACTCTGGACAATTCTGAACAAAAAAAAAAACAAACAGTGGCATTAGGACAACACTGGACAAATGCTGATGACATATCTCGTCAGCTGATCTGTCAGTGAACAGAGGATGCGTTCTAAAAACCTGATTTAAAAAAAAAAAAAATCTTTATTGACAGACATTACTTGTACACCACATACCACAAAAACAAGGCAAGTGGGATTTCATCTGCCCTCCTTGCAATGCTCTGTATCCTGTCTGCTTAGGATAGCGACACTCTGGATCCAGACTGCCATCCCACACACTGGACTGGAGCGTGCGCAAGGACTAAACCAACTAAAAACCAACACATGAAACAAACTGTACATTTTTTAAGTGTAAGAGAACAAACTGGAATTTGTAAATATTATGTTTGTCGTTTGGTTTGAGTGATTGGCCGGATCTTTTCTTTGTGACAGCAGGTGCAAGTTTCGACGACGTACATGATTTGTTTAGCACTCATGTTTGATTCTCCTTTATTTCCTAGATCTCAAGGGCAAGTTCCAACAGGTAATTGACAACATGAATACACCTGTTTGCATACAGTAGTCGTTTAAAAAAAAAGAAAAAACACAGCATGGTTTAGGTTGAGTTAAAAACTAAAAAAGGAACGCTAGGCGTAAGGCTCAGGGTAGCTTGTGGTGGTAAACATGTTCTGACTGCAGGGATGGCTGTTTAAAGCAGAATATCCACACCTTGTCCTTATTCTTTCAGTCATGAAGGCAGCTTCGGAGTGAAATGAGTTCTTTCATTGGTTAGAAAGCCAAAGAACAGCTGCATAGAACATATGACTGACAGGTCAAATAAATCTGTTCAAGATAACGCCAGAAAAAACAAGAGATAGGACAGGTGTTTGAAATGTGCTCAAAACAAACCACAAATCAAGGATTGTTTTCTTATGATGCTATTTGTCAGTGTCTCACGTTGTCTTGAGCATCGTCATACAGTGTTACCCTTAATTGGGAGGTAGACGAGTCCTTTGTACTCTTCCGTCTTATTTCAGACTCTTATTGTGATGGTTGTTTTGCTACCTTTTGCATATTTGTCTGCACATTCTGTTTTGGGGACTGTTGACCCAGCTGTTTGGTGTGAGTTTGAGTTGCCCACGCTTCTAGGAACAGCATTACTAAGATTTTTTTGCTTGTTTTTTGTTTTTTTTTGTTTTTTCAAAACAAGGGTTTGGACAGCCAACAGGTAATGGAAGCACACTCACCAAGTTTACATGTTTACACTACAGTTTTGATGTTGGCTGGAGGTCAGAGAAAAAAAGAAGAAGAAAAAAAGCATTACAAAGATTCCAAGTATCTTCTTAGTACAACATTTATTCCTGGAATGGTTAAGTGAAGGCTTGCACCTGTTTGTCTGTTTCCTTTAGTCTGATTCAGTAACCTGCTTGAAGCTCAAGATACTGTGAGAGAGCATAATGATCAGAAGGGGTTGAAGAATTAAAGTTAATATTTCTATTTCAAATAGAGGCTATTACACACTGTATGTTGTGTATATGAACTGGAAAACATTAAAAGATATTCTTAAACAAATTCCTTGCCGTTTCCTTTCACATGTCAGGGGTGTAATATTTAAACGTATTATATTTTTTTCAACACTTGAGAAAAAACAATCCCCACAACGATCCCTAAAACTTATATCACACCTTATACAGTATAATCACATTTTGTTTATAAAGTGTGCACATTGCCTTTATGTCTAAAAAATGAAAGCCAATATGGGGATGACTCCACTTGTTGCAAAAATAACCCAGATTGTGTAGAAATCCATGAGAATTAACTTAATAATATTTACCTTGTGAGTTTTATATCAATTTCTAGCAACAAGTTTTCTCTTTGAACAGCACGTTTATTTTGCCGTCCATGTAGAGTAGCCTACTATATAACGAAAAGGGCTAGTTAAAGGGAGCTGTGTCCTTTTTAAGTTGTTAGGGACATGAAATATATATTTTTTGCATATGGTTGTACAATTGTTATCAAAGTCACTCCAACAAGTCAGATTTAATTTGTGTCTGGTTTTTTTTCCGAACTAGTGAAAAGCTGTGAGCTGTGGATGTGCCTTGCTCACCAAGCTAGCACTAGCAATAGCTAACACTTACCATATGCTAACCTTTTCTACTCTCCAGCTCCATCCTCTTGTCCAAGTAGGATCATGACTGATTCTAAAAAAAAAGAAATACAAGGTGGAGACTGTTTCTGAACAAATAGTTCTCGTAACTACTGTCGGAGTAGGTGAGGTGGATACCTCCATTTCTGTTGAAATAGCTGACCTGTAAGCAATTTGTTAGCATTCACATTGGATAACAACACGTTTTTCTGTCTTGTTCTGTATATTGCTGACGGCTACAATCAGAAACGGGGAGTCAGAACCTTCATATTTACAGGTAATTGTCATAAAAAGTAAAACTGTCGGACATGAGTTTTTAGATAAAAATATCTAGTTGGCAAGTGAGGTCACTATGAAAGACTCCTCATTAGATACAACAAAATACACAAAAGGCTTTTAAGACACGTGCTGTTTTATCTTTTGTTCCTTTTTAGATGAAAAGCAAATTGATGTGGATGTTAAGCGAGAGAAGAGCTACTACAAAGGATAAGGCAAACATAGAAAATTTGATAAAGATATGCCTCATTACCATCGTCCAGTCTAGTAACTGTGGCGGGGCACATTGCATTATTCCAGACACCTCAGTATCTCCCTGATTCTTAGATTCCCATAAATAAATCCACAAATTGAAGTCTGTTTCTTTGTATGTGCTCTACCTAAAGGGTTTGAATTTCAGAGTCTAAAACAACAGCAGCACCAGATTTATGAAGGGACCCGTCCTCTGATCCGTGTTTATTCAGCTGCTGCACACAACAAATCAATATTACAGCAAATATAGGCCTCCTTTAGCAGACTGACGCCGGTCATGTTGGATATGCATGCTAATGTGGACTTTCCATTGTTTTAAAACCCTGATGTGGAAATAACCGAACACATTTTTTGTGTGTTTCTTTCTACTATCACTGGTGAATAAGCCTTTTTTTATACTACATTGTACCTTTCTTTACACCCCCAAAGTCACATTTTCAGCTCTTACATGTTTTGCATTATAAATATCACAAGCAGACTTCAGGCTAAACAATGAAGATAGATCATTTCAATAAGTTAACCTCACCTACACCTGTATTGCAAGTAGTTTCTTTATTATATAAAAAAAAGTGTTCCTTAAAGGAGAAAGGGAAAAGTCTACTCTGACCTTGAACAAATAACAACATTCAGTAAACTTATTTCAAGTTTGAAAGTTTTTTATATCTGGAATAACAAATCCTTATTTTGGTTTCAAACAATCATCTTGAAATATTGCTGCAATAACAAGGACATTATTAAAACCCCACTGGGTCTATTAACTGTGATGGTTGATATGAACTTTATAGATCAAAATCACATCATAAATAGATTGCTCAGTTTTAGATGACTGATTCTTACTGTAGTGTCATTGCGTTTCTCTTTTGTGCTCAACCCAATTACCTCTGCAGATAATCCCTCACTGTTAGTTTACCTTTAGGCAGTGGCCAAAGAAAATCCCCCATACCTCCCACTAGGTGGCAGTGTGCTACTATAATATATAGAATAGGGCCTGACATGACTCCTTCCCACCAGACTAAACCAGCCTCTCATATGACATATGCCGTCTTTCTGTGTAGACTTTGCAAAAAGAAATGGCCTACCACAGTTTAGAGTAGCCTATGTAAAGCCACATGAGTGATAAGCAGTATTTGAATGTTTGTAATTCTACAGATAATGTTCAAATAGTTGTGCACTGTTTCTGAAAGATATCATTTATTAGGTCATTCGAGCTTGAGCTTTAAAACAAATGTATGACTGTCCATGCGGCTTTCATTAATCCCATATTGAAAAGAATTCACAACCAGTAGATAAGCTGAATGATTAAAGACACTGAAACCCCTGAGTCGGCCATAAAAGTCAAATCAAATTTTTATAACTCACCAAACATTCACTCCCATATGCTCCCATCTGTGATGAAAGAAGGCAATTTTCTTAGTGTGCTGCATCCTTACATTGAAGATTCACAATAATTCATCATGTATTTAATTATAAACGTGGACGTAATAAGTTCAAAGACACTACAATGTTCACTCCCTCTATAGAATGAACTAGTTTACATATGTGTTGGTCCTGTACAAATGATAACTCCAAGACCGGTAAATGATGATGTTTTATTGAATTAGCCAATTAGCATCAACTCCCACACACATTACAGTTCAATTGTCACCCTTCCAGATAAAGTAGCTCTGTTTTTTTTTTTTTTTTGCTTAATTTGTTTTTGTAAGAGAGGAGATAATGAAATAAATCATCCCTCAAAAAAATCTTATTAAAGAAAGAACTGTTTAGTTTCTAAAAGCACAACTAAGCCTCACCCTTCCTCCCTTAGCAGGGAGGGAAATTAGCATTACAGAGAATAAGCACAATATTTCTTCCTTTTGAGCAAGAAAAAACAATCTATTAATATTATCTATTTCATCTTGAAAGTAAGAAGACACCAACATGCACATTGAAGCTCTAGCTTTCAGATGGTATGTTGGAGGTAAGATGGAAGGGGTGAGGGAGAGATACAATTGTCGTAGAAGATCTGAAGGTTCTCGCCGTAGTTCATGCTGAATTTCAGGAGGGCCTCAAGTTCCTGGACAGGCATCTCAGTGACGCTGTTTCCCTCTTTGGCGTTTTTGGCCACGGCTGCATGGGACGGGAAGAGGATGCGAACATCGTGGGGCGAGTTGCGGTCGTAGTCAGTGCAACAGTAGGCGGACCACACGTCTTCTGGGATGCCCACGCGCATCTGGTTGTGTCGGCGGATCATGTTGCCTTTGGTGGTCACGCCGGTGACGATGAAGGCTGTGCCCCTGCAGAAGTTGTTGAGGCGAACCCTGATCCGCTCCTCGTACTCGCGCCAAGGCCCGATGTTGAACTCTCTTATCTCTGGGACCACGTTGGTCAAAGTGTAGGTGGCAGCGCGGTCGTGTGGGGTGGACTGGTGCTGGTCTGGGTTCAGGTGGCCTCTCTCGTACAGAACCACATCTGAATAGTCATCCAGGACTGCCTGGCTGTCCTCAAACTTCATGTGCAGGTAGCCAGTGGGGAAGGGCATCATGTTTCCATTTCCATCAATTTCTGCCAGCTGTTGAGACAAAGACTCACTCTTACAGTAGTTCAACACAAATACATTATCATCCATGAGATTTTACATTCAACAATGTTAAACAGTGGTTACTCATACACAAATTCATTATCTGAGAACTTGATAATTTATCATTTTGAAAAACTGCTTGATACAACTCAAAGATATGTCTCTGACCTGTGGCTCATACATCCAAGGGTAGTCTACACGTCTGTCCCCCTCTGTTTTCTTAAAGGTGTACGCTGAATAAACTGGAATCCTGTCCTCGGGGTCGTACAGGGTCACATACCGAGGCTTGTCCGCGTAACGCTGGCAGATCTTCCTCAGTCCACTTTTGCTGATCCCCCTCGGTGGCGTCCCCATGTAGAGGGAGTCCTTGCATCTCTCTACGTGATTAAAGTCTTGAACAACTGAAGCTGTCATGAAAGGCAAAAAGCACATTATTAAAAGAGCCAGAAGTAAAGGTTTCAGCATGTTCATGGTCAAAACTGTCTCCTCTGTGTCTCCTACTACTGCTTCTGCTGTAAAGCAATGACAGAAGGTGTTCGCAGATATGATTTAAATGTCATGTAGCGGATATGCAAAGCAGGTAGAGTACAACATGAAGACAGGCCTCCTTTTAAATATGGGCAAGGGTGTTGCATTGCACTTACCAGCAATTATACAGTTATATTCCAAAGTTAAATGGTTAAAAAGACGTTGGTTCTCTTTAAATGTGGAGGGTGGGGGGATGAGAAAAACATTACCCTGGTTGAATAAAATTGCATATTGTAGATCAACAGTGTGCAGACCTGTTTCCTTTTCTCTTTAAACATATAGCCTAAATGTTATGTTTTTAACTGAACTGGTGTTATTCTAATAAATGTATTGAAAGGCTACACACCTCAAGTCCTTGGCCATTTTAACTAAACTGCCCTGTTTGTTTTTGTGGGATCTTATTGAGCTGATAGTTTGACCTTTGTGGTCAATATATTATCAGTAATGAATGTATAATATCCACATTGCATTTAAATCATGACGCAATAGGATTCTGGATCATTAAGTTCTCTGGGGATTGTTCATAAACAGAACACCTTCTCGATATGTTTGTGAAAAATCCATCTGGAACAAAATGTGAAAAACCAAAAGGTGCCTGCCAAAATCACTTTCTCTTACAAAAACATCTCGACCTTGCAAGATCATTTTTCTTCCAGTGACATACGCATTTTAGTTCCCTGCTCTAGAGGAATCTGTTCTTAGGCTGAGTGAAATTCCCTTTCACTTACACAGGACATTGGAATAGGACATTCAGAGACATGTTATCAACGTAATGGTAAAATGCAAAAACGTCTAATCTGACTCAGTAACGGACAAAAGGCTCACAGTGACCAGGTAGTACGCTTCACAGCGAATGGTGGATAAGCTAACGGGCAACAGGGCTATAAAGTGTGACAACGACAAGAGACAAAAGTTGATGTGTGCTTGATGTTTTCAAGGTAGACCTAAGCACCATAGCCAAGTCTGTTCTATCACACAACTAAGCACAAAGTTAAACATGAAATGCAAAACAATGATAGACTTATGATCAGAGGAACATGTGAAAGTTTTGTACAGCTGAGGTTATAGGTCATTTGGGGGAAATCGAATTAAATGGCACCTTTACTTTTTTTATAACCTTATTGGGAACTAATGATGAAGATGGAAAAGCAAAACAAGAAAGTAACCCAGTGCTGCACAGAACATTGCAGAAATTAATGTTTCATAATGACTCCTTAGCTAATGGTTCAGTGTCATGCCCAAATCGGTGCTTGACCCATTTTTGTACATATTGAGCAATTTATTCATCTGAAACTCTTCCTGTTTTCAAAGTTTTGTTTTTTCCCAAATCTTTCACAACAGCTTGGATACATTATGCAGATTATTTTATCAAACACATTTCAAATCACTATTTAGTAGCTGTGGCTACACATTTTCCCTCTCCAGATCTGAAATGTGTCATTTGACAACAACATGCTGTGGTGGTTCGGTTTCACTGACCTTCCTATTATGTGCTCATTACACATGCTGTATAGATTATCATGTGAATCAGTTATTCTCACGGATACAGCTAATTCTCTTGGAGGTATACAGCTTTATTTGATAGGAAGTTCCTATAAAAGTGCATGATTTTTTTTTTTTTTTTTTTTACAAATTAGCATTAGAGGAGATTTCCAAAACATGATTTTTAGCATTAGCCACATATTGAGTTAGTTCTACCTTGTATATTTGGGCATACATGAAAAACTATTTCAGATGTTAAAACATAGTAGAATAGTAATGGAACTACTAGCTACTAAAAATAGTAGGAAGTAATGGAAGTGTATTTCTAAATGTAATATAGGTGAACTAGTTAGCTAAAAGGAATTAATGAATTGATTAATATTAATGATAAAGAACCTTCAAATGAATAGACATTGTTAAATTAAGAGTAATGGAGAAATGGGGGCGCCGATAGCCTAGTGGTTATGTTGCGCGCCCCATGTACAGAGCCTATAGTCCTCATTGAAGCAGCATTGGGTTCCCTCACTCTCTCCTGCCGAACCTTGTAATTGATAATTAGGCTAAATGGTTTGCTAAAAGTAATGGATACTTTGTTGGCATAGTTTTATAATGTGAAACTGGTTGAACTCGTTAGCCAAGTTTTAAAGCAGAAGTATTTAAACAAATGTAGATTAATACATAAAATAGATGATAACAGTATAATTGTTAGGTTAATAATAGACAAAGCCAAAAGAAATGGATGAACGGTTGACAGTGGTAAAGGAGAAATGCTTGAGAATGGTGCAGAAAGGCTTTGACAAAAGTTGAGGATAAACAGCTGAAAAATCTCACATTATTTGATCGGCTAAATGTTAGCACAGTGTGCAAAAGAAAATAGAAAAAAGGTTGGAATGTGACCTGGAATTACTCTAATGATAAACAGTTAGCAGAGCGAAAAATGAAAGATAAACAGTGAAAACGGCAAGAGCGGTGGTACGGTGGTCAAAATGATAGGCATAGCAATGACTGATTCTAAAAGCTATGGAGAATTTGTTGAACAACAAAGCTGAAAGTAGATTGCAGTTTAAAACATATCCTTAAAACAGTGGAGATAGGAGATCCAGGTCAAATTTATGGTAAAATGATCATATTCAGAACATGACCGATGATATCCATGGAGGGGTTGTTAGACTCTTCTCGAGGGCTGTGGGGGGTTATCTGACAGAAGAAGAGATTGGAAACCACGTATCTAACTTGATTAAAAAATGTGCTGCACATCAATGACTCGAGTTTCTGCGGCTCTCCTGGCCTCTTCTCAAGTCTGTTTATGCAAATGGGAACTGTTTGTCAGATTAGCTGGAGCAACAATCCTTCATTGCCTTAATAAGTCCATTTGAGTGACTGAGTGTTGTTATTCATCGAGGGGGCGCTTGCCTCTCTGATTTAATCCTGAGTTATGACAATCATAACTAGCGTAGCTGGGGCTGATGATGCAGATATGTGAACAGACATTTTTCAGCTGTCAGCATTTTTACCAGTTAAAATGATCAATTCAGATCAAGTGCAGAGGCCGGCTCAGTTTCTTCAGCTTCAGTAGAAGACACTTTTACTGCTGTTTTTCTTAGTCTAAAGTTCTTTGGACTTGAAATGCAACTACCAGCCATGATGGTCCACACTATATTTTTTTGGAAACAGTCATATAAAATCTGATGCATTAGGGTAGCAGTTGTTGATAGCCACACAACTTTAAATAAAAAAGTAACCTAAATCAACTTGTCTTTGTTTTTCTTTTTTTCTATTTGGGTGAATTTATTTTCAACCACAGTCCTTACAAACAATTTGTTTTTGCATTTTTTGAATTTAATTTAATTTTATATGTGTATATTTTATTAATCCTGAGGGAAATCAGACTTTTTACTGTTATTGTGAGACACGCTTCACACACATCAGCCTGAAAGCACATCATGATCTATAGACAATAAGGGAGATATGTCAGAGTGAGGGGGGGTGCTCAGGGACTGACACCCAGAGTAGTTGGGGGTTCAGTGCCTTGTTCAAGTGCACTTTAGAGGTATCTGGGGAGTAAAATGGCGCATTCCACAAACTCCACATCTGGTCCATACTGGGACATGAATCTGCTACCGTTTGGTTTCCAACCGAAGTCCCAACAGACCCAGCTACTGCACGCTGACTGGCTGTTAATGGGGTCAGTACGGGTCAAATTCAAAAGCAATTCAGGTTAAAGTACAACCTAGATTTTTCCAATCCACTTGCATGATTGTTCCAGGCTGTTGAGTGATATAACTTAGAATAAAATAATGGTCCAATACTCATTTTGGGAACAATAGGCTATATGTTTCAGCATAATATTAAATATTATTTATTGTGAAACCTTGTGGACTTGCCTGGATTGTTTTAAGATCTCACTTAACTGTACTTTACATAAAAATTACTTCTAATTCAATACCTCAAACTGGCCACTTGGAGGCAGTGTAGGCCTTGTTGTCACCTGTTCACTCCTCCTTCCACATGGTGATGAATGCATCGCAAACAAATTATTAAAACTAGGACTATTACTTTCATCTCAAACTGAAAGGACTAAAAAGTAACAACAGTATTATTTTATATCTGAATATGTATTTGTAAAAGTATTAGTCTTTCATTCTTGTAAAAATGTAGAGTTGGTTTTGTGACATTACACTGTTTTTTAAATATGTTATTATTGTTTGAGTTCTCATCTGAAGTATGTTTTTATTATTCTCCTATTCAAACAGAGACTCTAGTCTTGTAAAGGCAATGTATTAGTTTGTATCAATATGGGCCTATATTTCTTAATCCAACCTGTATGTAACCATTTTTTTATTGTACCTATCTCTGTTGTCCATTTTCACTGTATGTCTTTTTGCATCAGTCCTCAGTTATTTTTGGGGGAGTTTAAAGGGCAATTTGCACCTGAGTTAAATTCATTTCATGAGTTCACACTTGACTAAATACGCTGGTTTCTAATTTGTGACACCTCTTGAGTTTTGGCTGTAACTTAACAACCAAAGCATGAAAGCTTCTTGTTCTCCATAAAAAAAAAAAACTTTCCAGACAGAACAGATGCTCCCTTGACTTGTACACTACAGGAGACAGTCTCCAGACCTCCACTGAGCCACCAGGGGGCTCAGTTTAGCACATATTCTGTCCTATGAAGCATCTCCACTAACTTCTGCACCAAAGCCAGCTGATTGGTCCAAATACCCACATGGGGCTGCGCATTGACCAATAGAATTCGAGCTGATCGGGGGCTGTTGCTAAGGCACTTCAGATGTAAAAAAAAAAAAAAAAAAAAAAAAAAAAAAAGTCTGTCAGCTGTCTGCTTCCTCCATTTCACTTTCACACTCGTCTGCCTCTTCGTCGGCTCTCCCTCTCACTGTTTTCACTCAGCTGTCCTGCCGGGTTGTTATTGGTCGCCGACGGGTAAAATGTGCGGAGGAGTGAGCGGAGGATTTTGCATTGTGAGCCACAAAGACCCTCCCTCACGAACCCGGAGCTGTAGCCCCTCCTCCCCGGGTTCTTCTGTCACTTGACATTTGAGCTCAGCCAACACAGGCAGACCTGCTGTCACCCTCCAAATCCTGCTTTCCGAGATACCTGCAGCTCCAACACTCACAGAAAGAGTGGCACGTTTTACCCGACTCTACAACCCCGTTCTTCTATAAATGTATCATAAATTATCTTGAAAAAAAAATGTTCAGGAAATGTGTTAACAAGTGTAACATTTTATTGGATGTGTTGTGTTTTTTTTGTTTTTTTTCCCGTAGAATGATGTCTGCTACAGCTGTGGAGGGATTTAAAATAACTCCTCTACTGTACTGGCCATCTTCCAACTCTCAATTACTCTCACACACATTGTATACACACACACACACACACACACACACACACACACACACACACACACACACACACACACACAGGAAAAGGAAAATAAAGAGCCCCCTCTATGCCTCTGTCTGCTGTTTCTCCCCTCCTCCTGCCTCCGCTTTCTCGCTGCGAAACGTGATAGATAAGATTTTCCACCCTCCGATTGGCTCAGGAGTCGTGATTGGCAGGTGGCTAGGGCCCGCCCTGCCGGTGTCTGTGCATGGATCGGTCTGCTGCGAGAGCCTAAGCATCAGAGAGTGGAGTGGAAACAGGAAGAAGGGGGAGAGGGGAAGAAAGGAGACAGAGGAGAGAGGAACGGGTGAGACAAGGTGGCGAGGAGTGAAAGAGAGGAAAAGGGGAGCAAGAGAGGGGGTGTGTGGATCAAAGGAACAAAGACACTTAAAAAAAAAAAAAGGTAAACTACGGTGAAACATGATTGTATTATTTGTCTCTGTCTCTATGGTAATCGTCTCTCTGCATGCATTGTGCAGTCTTGACAAAGTGTGAGTTGCAATTTGTGTGTCTGTAATCTGTTGATTTCTGTGTTTTTCAATGTGTCATTGTTCTGAACGACGTGTCTGTGTTGGCTGAACATACTGCAGTGTGTGGTCTGCAGACTGTGTGCTGCACATTCATGCATGAAGCCAACACACACACACACACACACACACACACACACACACACACAGACATGCATGCACACATGCAATGCAGACATGTAGGCTAGTGCACGGGCAGAAATGTGGAATGATGAATGTTGTATGGGGGGGGGGGCTTCTGCGGTTGCACTTCTGCTGTGGTTACATTTGTGCTCTGAGGAGCTGAGGTTGAACTGTTGAATATCAACAGTGTGTGTTTGTGGGAGGTGTACAGTAGTATATCTTCAGCTTAGCAAAGTGTGAAGCTTAATCTTCAATTTGAGGAATTTCCAAACTGTGTCACATGCAGCTCTTGGCTTGGGTAAAAGTTCAGCTCACTGTTAAACACATCTTGCACCCTAAAACTTGCGGCCTTTATTGTGATTTTTTTTTTTATAAAAGAGGTGGCTCAAATATTTGACTCACTCTCATTTGTAAGAAAAAAAAAAAAATCAAAATGTATATATGGTAAGCTTAGCTAGCGGAAGGTGCAGCGTGTATTCTTCCAGTGGATGTGATTGCCAGGTAACCACCTGGATTTGACATCCCAGGTAACCGTTGCTCACACAATCCCAGCTGCCTTGCTCACACTCAGACAGACACACAAACACGTGCGTTCAGTATCATCTTTATACATTGTCATCCTGCTCCATTGTCTTTTTTTTTTTAACGAAAAGCTTGCACATTTTATTGCATTGTTTGCATATGACACCCCTCTTTTCTTGCTCTTGACCTTGCCTTGGTACATTCCAGCACCCCCAGAGAGAGAGAGAGAGAGAGAGAGAGAGAGAGAGAAAGCTGTGCTTTATGGAGCATACACCGGGAGAAGCTGCTGTTACAGAAAGGGAGAAGGGGATAGAGCAGAGAGGGCTGTGGGGATGTTATTTTTAGAAATGTGATTGATATTCGCCTCGTACTGTAAGCTCTTTCTCCGGGACTGTGACGCTATTTCAGGCCTGAATCCAATAAAATCACACATGTGAATGCGTTCAGGGTGGGTCTGTACATTGTCGCTTCTCACTTCCCTCTCCATCTGTTCTCCACTTCCTATGTTAGCTAGCCAAGGAGCAACCAGAGACAGGCCAGGTCTGGTGCAGCCCATCCTTCCTTTTATGGTATGGGATCTTTGCAACTTGCAAAGACACACAATGTGCCGGTATGAACATGCACATCTGCAGGGATTCACTTCAGCAGCAAGCCGTCTTAGATAGTGTGACATTAGCAGGGATATGAAATGCTGTCGATTTGACAAAATGAGGGCACAAATTGGTGGGTCTTTGCTGAGCATGGATGCTCTTAAACAAGATAAATATTTCTGGGTTAGCTGTCTCGTTGCTGAGATTTAAGGAGGTGGAGTAGAGAATCATTGGTGTTAAAGTATACATTAAATCCCCTCCCTCTCGGTTTCGGTGTCCAAATCACACACACACACACTCCCAAACAGTCCCCGCCTTGCTTGAGGCCGTGCTCCCAGCTCCGGACTAAATGATATCATCGGGACGGTTACCAGGGATACAGGGACCCAGCGTGCAGAGAAAAGGGTGGGTGAGGCATAGGCAGAGCTGTACACATAGCCTGAAAGAGAAAGAAGCGGCTGGGATATTGGGTATCAAGAAAGAAAAATAGGAGACTTGTCGAGACAAGAACAGCAAAGGTGATGGGAGCAGAGCCATGAGGAGGAAACATGGAAGAGAAAAAGCCCACTGTCAAAGGTTATTGGCCCATCCTTCCTCCTTCCATCTCGTTTCAGTCCCTTCCTTTGTCTAGAGGGGGGTCAAGTTTTGTAACGGTGCAAATGTGTGCAAAAAAGCATGTGTTGTAGGAAACGAAGGCTGGGAGTAGAAAAGGAAGAGAATGGCAGCAATACCTGAGGGATGGAGGAGAGATCCTGCTGTTGATTTAAAATAATACAAGCTTCCTGTCTTGTACATCTGTGCACTGACTGGCTCTGGTATTTCCTCACTCTCTCCACTTTGTGTGTGTCTGTCTGTGTGTGTGTGTGTGTGTGTGTGTGTGTGTGTGTGTGTGTGTGTGTGTGTGTGTGTGTGTGTGTGTGTGTGTGCTAGCCAGCTAGTAGCCGAAGATGATCGGGTCTATTTAAAGGGATCTGAGGCTACATGGGATACTGGCTTGTTATTCCTGACAGACAGCATCATCGAATTTAGACCGGCGTGTGTCTCCCCCTGTCTTTTTCCTCGGTGCTCATAGCAAGGTAAGATTTGGTGACGGGGTTCACACGCACACACGCACAATTACATTTCAAACAAATGTTGTGAATTCACACTTGGCAAACAGGGTTCGTTTGACAAAATTGGGTAAAGGTTATACTGCCAAATGGGTTTTTCATCAGAGACTTGAGTGGGTGCGTGGTGCATGAACAGGGTTTCCTTGGTGACAAGCAGGAGAGAAGAATCAGTCTGAGGGGTGCATAGAGCAGGTTTAACCTCCCAGTGGGTGTTAGTTAACACCCAACAGCTACAGATGTTCCTGTACTATTTCCCCCTCCACGGTGCCGATTTCAAGACCCGAGTTAGCAAATTAGCCAATCAGATGCCTGTGTGACACTTTGTAAAATAGTGTAACCTATTCCCCTTGTTTCAGTTGTACCAGATTGCTGTCATTGTATGGCCTGTGTCAGGACAAACCCTTTTGTAAGACGTGAGCAAACGCATGCAGAAAATAAACGATGTGTGCAATTTTTTTCAAATTATTTGGTGAGACAGTCAGTCGTAAATTAAAAAAAAAATGGGAATACATTGAAGTGCAAATGACAATCCCAGAAAAAGCTCCATGTGCCCAAAGGCTCAAGGCTCTCTGATGTGCTGAAACTTATACTTAAACAGGTGCAGAACCGAGACACAGGCTGAGTTAATATAGTAGCAGCAGCTGGCTGGCAGGTCCAGATGTGTTATGTTTGTCATTGCAACGGAGAAACGATGATCTTTAAGCTAAAACTGATTGATTTAGTGGAGCAGTGGTGAATGTTACTCTCTGTGCCGGCTCACTATTTGTGTTTGCTATGTCCCGTTTAATTACCTGTAATCGGGCTCGGAGAAGGCTTTCTGCAACTCTTATCATATTAGAACAACTCACTGCCATCGGGAACCAATTCAAGAGTTTTCGTAAAGCATCATTTGATTCTCAATACGCCGGAACAAAATGTTTTTGGAGCTATTCCCTGTTTTATACAACCAGCATTCAAAACAATACAACCCTATAGTCTACTGTTCGCAGTGCACATTCTTTTCTCTACTTCATTAAACTGGGAAGCAGAGAGTTTACCTTCACAGCATCTTAACCTCTTTTGCAGCACATGACATCATTTGGCCTTGGAGAGAAATTCCAGATGTGTGCAATTAAACCAGCACACATGGGTCTAATATTGCGGGCCCATTGTTGTATAGAGTCAATTTTAGGCTGCTGTGTTGACTGACAGCTCCCCCCCCCCCATCCCTCTACAACACTGTAACAACAGTGTGCTCCAATGTGCAGCAGGGAGGGTCTGCAGCAGATGGTCTATATCTGAGTATTGTTGCTCAAACACCAGCAGGCTGAGGCTTTTAAAGCACAGGAAGGCGCCTGTCTTTGTCAAAGAAACAAGAAAAACTGCAACACTGTGTATCAAACTGTTGTCACGCCGAACAAACATTGAGAGAGTTTTCAAGTTGTTTCAGTAAATACAAAAACACGCTGAAAGCCTTTTCTCAGAATTTACAGGGATGTCACATAAGTTGAAGAAGTTATTCAGAAAAAGACGGATTGCTACTGAGATGGTTGTTTCAGTATTTGACTTGAAAGCATATTTTTGGGAGAAACAGAGGTTCTATGAGTATCAAAGTGGAGCTAGACATAATGGCAAAGCTTTTACTGAAGGCATGCAGAAAAGTATGTTAGGAAAGAAAAAAGGCATGCAACTTGTTATCAGTGCAACATTGTACATTCATGAAGACCTTTTGTGTTCTCCTTCTGCTCTAAAAATACATCTGAATGCAGTTGACTCCAAAAAGCCTGAAGCCAAAGCAGTAAGAGCTGTCTGGCTTCTGTTGCTCTAGCAACTGGTAGTAAAATGGACTCTTGAGGAGGTGGCTCACTTATTTCATTCAGCACTCACAGAGAGGTTACTATAGCACAGCTGCAACAGTCTTACCACAAACAAACGTGCATGAAATCAACTTACACCACAGGGGAAGTGGAAAGATGTTGCAGAACAGCTCATCATGCTATTTATAAATAGCTGTGAAGAAAAAAAACGAGTGCATATAGAGATGTGACCTGTCAATGCTCCATTCAGCATACAAAGCTGATCTCGACAGGGTCAGGTCCCAGAGGCACAGTGCACTGGGTGTCTGCCAGGAGCAGAAGAAACTGAGAAATATTTGATAGAGGGGGAAAAAAAATACTATTTTACTTTAATCAAAGGAAAATAAAAACATACAATTTGAATATTCTGAGGTGGTTAAAGGTTATACAGTCCAGTCAGACACAGGTTTGAAGCAGAGACCACTGTCCCATTGATCTGCTGAATTTACAGCTGATAATAAGCTGCAAGACTGAATGGGAGATGGTTGCTGTTGATCTGCAAAAACAAGCGCCGCTAGTTTTGTCAGAGGATAAAAGAATCAGGGCTTATTACAGTACTGTAAAGTAAGAAAATACCCTCCAGCAGCCCACCCAGCTTTTTCCCCCTCTGCTTTTCTCTTTGTTGTTTTAGCGAAGTTGCCATTGTCATTCATCTTAGTGCCATGTGGGTTTTTTTCCCCCCTTCGATCACTGGATGGCCACTAGCTGTGGTGGCTGCTGGGTAGCAGTGATTAGAGAGAAGCTGAATGCACAATGCAGCTCTGGCTGACTGATGATATGAAGGCTGAACAGATACAGTGCAGCAGGCAATAAAGCACGCAGGAATCAAATCTGCCACTGATACACAATATGACACTTTGGTCTGGGTGTGAAGGATAAAGAGCTCGGTATAGGCATGGTATATTTCTTTCTCTAGTTATGTACTGATTATGTTTTCACCTATGTGTCCTGTCCACAGCCTGTTTGGTGCTATCAGGTGTGAAGTGGAGGGCTTCCCAAACTCAGACCAAGACTGGTAACCACAAAACATTTGTTTCTCTCTCTCTCTACTTTGTGTGTGTGCATTGCTGCTAACATGAAAACATACACTGGATTCACTACTGTAGCACATTGTAGTATAATAGTAGTATTTACTACTTTAAAGGATAACTGCAAAGGCACTGTGTGTCAAATAAGCACTTATTTGAAGGATATATTACAGTCATTATGGTGTGTGATGACAAAGTAGATACTTGCACTGTCATAGATAGTAATCCTGAAGAGGCAGAGATGCACATAAATATTGTTCTGTATGCCAATGTAACATCAGAGCCTGAATATTACATGGTAGGGATGCTACATGTGGAATTCCTGGTTGATGCTCACCAGTTGTTTTAGTTGACTTGACTTATTATAGGGCCAATCCAGTAGGTATTTTCATTTGTTAATGGATTACTGAATAGAGTACTTTTCTGGATAAGCTGCCCATACGTCTGCCATAAGTGTATAAATTATTCAAAAATAAATTGTTGCACACATCTTTATGGTGGGAATTGTCATTGCCTAGATCTGATTGGTTGAAGGCACCTCAGTCTAGTCAGATCTTTTTAAATGAGATATCTTATTTTTCTATGTGTTTATTCCAAATCTGAAAATGTACACACGTATAGCAACGTTTGTGTTGCAGGCTGCATGTATCACCCAGCAGAGCTGTACTCTGGCCGTAACACATGGGACTCCTACACGGCTGGAGGACCTAACAGAGGACAATGGGCTCCTGTAAACGGTCGGCCCTGGAGCCACACTCAAAGGTCAGCAGCACCGTCATTCACACTCATTCACCAAGTCTTTCTATCGGGTTAACTTTTTTTTTTTTTTTTCAAAAGAGGCTTACATATAGGTTCACACCTGAAAAAGATTTGCGCTGACACGACAGTAACTTTGATTTATTTCTGTCAAAGGAGACATTGTTGGCTACAACAGTTAAGAAATCCCAAGACAGCAGAAACAACTCAAATACCTTTGACACCGACATGTAGAGGATAGGTTATAAAGAAATTTGAACAAAGTGGGAATTGATATTAGGGACGTGCATTACAAGTTAAATTAGTATCGTCACTGGCAATAAATCAAAATTTTATTTGAATTATCGTCAGTGTCTCATTTTCTCCTAGATGGACCAGGACGTACATCTTAGTTTGTTAGCTTGATGCTAACACATTGCCATTAACAGGCTAATAGATTTAGCATTGCGGTAATTTTAACCTAACAAACTATGCTATGTATTTTATTTTACAATGTTAACTAAACTATATTTTTTGATTGATTCTGTTTAGTAAAAGAGCCTTAGAATCAATCAAAAAAAAAAAAGTATGAGATGCTAAGATTGTTACAGACTGTAATGCTACATTATTATTATTATTATTATAGACATTGTGTCTCCTGATGCCAATGCTTTCTTCTTCATTTGTCATTTAATGGTAGTTAGCAAACAGCTTTCAGACCACTACAGACACCGTCCACAGTTAGTACAACATTACAACAAGGTGCCGGTAAAAATAATGGGGGAAAGAAAAAAATTATTCGACTATTTGAAAACCGTGACCCTCGTTGATATGGAAACAACTTAAACCTTAAACATTCCCACTGTAAGTCCGTCCAGCAGGTGGGTCTAAAGCCTCTGCTGCCTGGGTTTGATACAAGACAAGCACCACTTTAAGGGACTGATTAACTGAAACTGTGATGAGCAAATTCATTAAGAGCTCTTACTTCAGCTGCAGCTGTGAGTGTGAGCCCATCTGCAGCTAAAACAAGCAGGACTGTACTTAAAACTAAAATACTGAAATATGACTTCTTCAGCTGCAGCAGAGAGGCCTCAATCTAACTATACAGCATCAACAGCAGTTAAAAGAGGCTTTGGTGAATGGGAGTGTGTCTGTAGCTACGGGGTTGTGATTTTGCAATAATAACAATCATAACTCCAATAAAAAGTTGTGACTTTCAAAGAGGCATAAACACAAGTTGTTTAAAGGTGTCATCCAATCAAGCTGAGAAGTAAGCCAACATTCTTCTTTTTAAATAAAAAAAAAAACAAATATTAATGAGGAATCGTAATGGTCTTTAAAAAGTCCAGTGGGGTATTGTTAACACAAACCCCTCTGCAGGTTGTTATTGACCAAGCAAACAGAGTAGTCCTATCAGCAAGCTGTGCAAGTGAAATTTGAAGTGAGATCAAAAAAGTGAATATTTCGTCCAAAGGAGTCAGTACTTTCAGACCCACAGGTCCACATCAGCATTAAAAGTATATTACAAATACAACATGACACAATTCTAAAAAGAAGTGTTTCTGTTGTTTGAGAGTTTACTAAAACGACATTTACTAAAACGATCAAGAACAGGGCAAACATTTCAATCAAACTCTTAGAAGGAGGTGTCCATGGCAGGTGAAGTCAGCAGTCAGTAAACACAGGGAGGCTTTGCTTCCGTCTTACTTTCAGCCACTCAGCTCGGCACATTGACACATGTTCTGATTGTTTTTTTTTTTTTTTTTTCTTCATAACAGCAGATGCCAAGAAGGCCGCAATCAATCACATCATCCACCATCCAATCGTCTTTATAGTAGGTGAGTATCACAGTATGAACATCATTTGCACGGTGCGTTGAAAATTAGCTTGTAATGCATGATATATTACTCAGCAAAGTTATGTCCTGCAAAGTGCTGTTATAACTTTAATGATTATAGAACACCTTTTTAAAACTGAGGGAGGGCCAGCTTCCATTGCTGCCCAATTGTCACAAACAGAGTAGTACAAACCTTAGGATATGCTTCAATGCATGTGAATATTTGCTCTGACATTTACAGTGATATTCAGCAGCATCATTGTTTTGTACAGTATCTACACCATGACACTCGTTGCTCAATCCAGTTGGTCTTTTGCTCAGGGGAGAGAGGACAGACCATGTCCAGGACAAGGCTATCTCTAAGGGATACAGGCAGCCTCTGCGTCTTTGGGATTGCAAAGAGCGTCCGTTTGAGGCCCAGAACTGGCATCCCAACTCCACACGCTCGTTCAACAATCGACCTGGCACCAACAACGGTTATCTAACAGGACCCGGAGAGCGCTACACAAACTGGGACAACGATGCCAGCAACTCTTTGGTGAGACTTGCAGATCTTGCTTGAGACTTATTTAAATGATTGTCACTGGAAGTAGAAGCATTTCATCATTTGAGTCCTTTATTGAGACTTTTCATATTTTGGGCTGTTTAGCATGGAGGTCCTCATCTGCATCGCAACCACAGAGAAGTCCAGTCCCCGCCTCAGAGATGGGCCTCATCAGACTGCCGCAGGAGCTTTCCTAACAGAATGATGAACAATAGACCAGGACCCTGGAAACGGCCAGTCCTCCACCAGCGACGAGACCAACAGCACCAGCACAGTCCCCCTCCACAGCACCCTTTATCCCCCAGGGAAGAGTGTCCAGCCAAGAGGAGACGAGAATCTGGCCCTGATCAGGTAACGATTGTAGCGTAAATAAGTGAATTAGGAATTAATATTTCATCAGTCTTCCTCTTATTAACAAGTGGGGCATAAGTCGATAATTCATCGTAAACAGATGATCAATCATAGTCGTAATGTTTTCCTTCAGGGACCTGTTCACCTTTTAATAGAAAGACACCAACAAAGTACCTGACCTAAGGTGAATATTTATTACAAGCAGGTAGTGAATCATTGTGACTAATAGTGAGCATTAGTAATGAGTACAATAATAAAGTCAGCATATGATGAATAGATGAAATAATGGCAAGTGGGTTCAGATTTTAATGTCCTCTGCGGGACTAAAGCCTCTGTACATGGGGCAGGTGACATAACCGCTAGGCCCCCCCCCCCAATAATCACTTTTTAAAATGTATTTTGATGGCCGGTCTACATTTATTCAAAAAGTCACTCAAAGTGTAAAAGTAAAACAAAAGGCAAACAGTTTACACTGAGAGAAAACTCAGTGGTCGGAAATTTAGAAAAAAAAACAACTCCATGACTCAAATGAATTTGCGGGCGCAGGTATCAAGACAAACAGGACAGTCACTGTAACAACACAGAAGACTAGCATAACAAGGAGGACTAAACACAACGGGCAACAACCGTCTCCTCACTTCTCTTCTTCTGGCTTATTCTTCTCCCTGTCTCTGTGCCGACGTGTTTTAAGACCTTTTCTCTAAGATGCACATTCATACTGTCTCACTATGATACCTTGGATTTATTATTTATATATTCATTTATTTGTATCGGAACAAGTATTGAGCAAGAAGTCCGTTGCCACACGCTACAGCATTTATAGCCTGAGCAGTCCCTCTGAGATGATCAAACCTCTTGCAGAACACAGTTGATAGTGAGAATGAGACCTTTATATATGTAGATCAGAATAGAATCAGGTCAAATCAGACAAATCAGATCATGCCACATCTCATCAGCTTTGTTCAGTCATGCATTAAAAGGAAAACATTCCCTCCAAAGATTGGTTTAACTATCAGTTAAACCCAAAACAACACCATGGGTTGCAGCATGCAAGTAAAGGTAATAGTCAAATAAACATGCATCTCTTATTCAATATAAAAAGGGCATTGTCTTATAACACAAATCGTTCCAAAAATAATTATGGCATCCTAACTTTCTTATGACAAGATGCTGTGTTTACGTCAAAGTTTTCATTTCGATTTCTGAGAACACTACAGTTACTGGTTTTGGTACTACTATATAATTCAAAGTTATAGATGACATTAAGAGGAGGGCTTGCTCCTGAGATGAAATCCAAATGATTGACTCTTACAGAACAGCATGATTTTGTCTGTGGAGAGATGGTCTCTTGTCAAAGTTTTGATTTATTAGAAATCCATAAATATGGTTCTCTTTTGCTACACGAGTTTTGGCGAAGCATAACAAACACTGCTGGTTTATATTTGGTAAAATGCAATCTCGAATGACAGCACATTTATGCGTTTCTGTGCAGTCTCATCCAGGATCAAGGCATTTACCTTTAGTTGCCCATGCCCCGTCACCAACTCGCCACAATCGCTGCAATCAAGACGACTGGAAGCCTCTTCATGACAGGTCTGGTCCTCTCCATCACTCTGATCACAGGACCTCAACCACACAGCAACCGGTAAGCTAGTAGAACCACTAAATGTTAGCTCAAAACTGGGAGAAAAAAAAAAAAAAAGAAGAGATTTGAGAATTGTTGACTTGAAATTTTGAAATTTTCAGGAAACCTCTAAAGTGCGAGCTGAAGGGCACGGCTCTAGTAACAGTAGCCCAGCAGCTCTGAACCAGAGATGCAGCAGCAGATCACCACACCACGGAAGCAGAGGGAAGGTCGACCGGAAAATCTCGTCTTCACCAGCAGACCACACCCGTGTGCCTTACAGCCACCAACACCATCATTACCAGTACCAACGGCACACAGGCCATCCCAGAGCCCCACAGCACAACCTGCCACCACACACTCATGAGGAAAAGGACTCAAGGAACCATCACCACAAGAAAAGCACAGTGAGAATTTCCCTCTTAGATCCCATGAGCACATAAATCTGTCTTTGTTTAAGGATCCAGTAAGGGTTTCTAATATAATCTCTGCCTTTAAGAGAATCACTTGAGTTAGTCAACCCATTTTTTTTTTTTTAACTATTAGGCCTAAGTCACTGTTGATATTTATTGACATGTTACCTACTCTACAGGAACCTCAGCGCATTCATCAAAGGGCTAATTCAAGGGATCCAGCCCTCTACAAGTCCTCTGGTTCAGCCTCTCCCCCCTACTCATCCCTCCTCTGCACTCCTCAAAGTGAAGGTCGCACTGCCAGTAGTCCACATTCCCCTTCCAGTCCATCTACCTACATGGCCGCCAGTGGCAGAAAGGATCAATCAAATATTCGTCAATGCAGTCCCAGCCCCAGAGGACAGCAGAAACTCCAGGGAAGCCCCAGTCACACCCCGAGACCTAGCTCAACATCTCCCACGTCTCCTACGTCCCACGCTGGACCAAAATCCAGGTTCTCCGAGGTCAAAATTCGAAAGACTTCAAAGTCCCCCTGCTCACGACAGACATCTCACAGCAGATCGAAAGCAATCAAGCCTGAGGCGGAGTTAGCCGAACGCATCAAGAGTGACAAGCTCGTGAAAAAGGAGAGGAAAGAAGGGCTTCAAAAGACGAGCAGGAAAGATGTGGAAACGAAGAGACGAAAGAAAAAGGAGGAGAAGAGGCTGGCCGAGAGAAAAAAGAAAAGGGAGAAATCAGCGAAGAAGGAAAGAAAGTTAGGCTTGAAAACTCAAATGCTAGAAAAGGAAATATTTACTTCTTTCGCTACTCCCAACTTCTCATGTGAGGCCAAAGGGAGTAAAATGGCGCTAACAGCAATGGCACCCGCGAAGCAGGTCCAGTCACCATCAGCATCCAAGCACAAGCACAGGGAGAGGTGGGAACGAGAGAAGACACAAAGGCTGTCCATAAAAACCTCTCCGCATCCGTCCTCTGAATCTCAGAATCCCAAAAAGAAAAGCAGTCCTCCAAAAGTTTCCGTCAAGGAAAAAGCACCACATTGTCCTCGCAGTAACACCGGCGACAAAAAGATCAGCAAGAAGCCGGCCAAGGTTTCATCCCAGCTGGAAGTCCGACCAAAAGCAAAACCAGACGAGACTCTCCCCTCTCTTTTATTCAAAGCCTTAGAACCTCTCACTACAGCCTGCTCTATTAGCCTTGAGCGGCCAATCCATGGCAAAGACGATGGGCAGGGAGTTCTCAACGCCCCGGACCTACAGCCTGTTGCAGTGATGGGAAACCTGCAGGATTTGGGAGACAACCTTTCGAACACTCCTCCTGTCCTCAGCTGGCAGGGATCCCCAGTCTCAGATCTGGGAGATGATGAGAGGAGCTCGAAAAGGGAGTGATTAGAAGACCTGTCCTCCAGCCAAGCCCAACCCATTGCTTTTCCCCTCCTTCTGTCGACAGCGAGAGCACCGACGACACTACCAAGGAGTCTTGTGAAGGTACACTTGCCGACGATTCACACGATAGCATGCCAGAACTCTGTGATCTACCTTTTGCGACTGAACAAACTGCCAAGGAGGAAAAGGAGGAGGACGTGGACAGCGCCGGGGAAACTTCGGAATCTCTTCTCCGCGAGCTTCGCCACCATAGAACGGGCTTGGATGACGTCTTCAAGAGCCTTGCCAACTTTCTTGGAGGCCAAAAAGTCCCTTGTCGAGGCGGTCCATTTGGGGGCCCTCCTGCTAGCACCGCTGGAGGAGTGAAGTACTCTTCTTCTCTCGCATTGGGGCCAGAGATCCGTGAGCAGCAGGATTTCTTCCCCACACTGGATCCTTTAGCATCCTCTGAAGCCGGTAATCAATCACCATCTCACACTACCTCACATTGTCTTTCAAAATCCCACCCTTCGACAGATGGTAAGGAGCCTGTCAAGGACGCCGAGCTGCAGAAGAAGCATGAACAAGCCGAGAGAAATGTCAAAGAGAAACACGAGGACAAGAAGACGGAGATCCTCACCGAGAGGACGGAGTCGTCTCTTTTGGATGGGTCACTGAGTGCAAAGCTGCGGCTGACCACAACTAACACAGCCTCCTTTACCAGCCTCATCACTGTCACCACCAAGGAAGACAGAGGGAACTGCAAAGAGACAGATCCCATAAGAAGAGACAGGAAAAGAAAACGAAATAGCAAGGACGAGGGAAGACAAGGAGAAATAAAGATTAAGATCAAGACAGAAGAGAGCAGCGTCATGCGTCCTAAAAACAAAACGATCGAGAATGGGAGGGTGAAAGAAAGGGATGTTTCGTCCTCAATTTTTGTCATCTCCAGGAAACCACCCAGAACCGTCAAAGACGGTAGGAAGCGCCAGATTCTCCTGGAAAAACAAACAAAGCACGGCAAGGACAGAACACGTGACAGTGAAAACTCTAAGGGAAAGATGGCAATGGGAAAGAAAGAAGAAGGCGACGGGTTAGAAAAGAAGACATCGGCGGCAGCTGGAGACACAAATAAGATGCAGAGCTCAGCATCAAGTGTAACAATCAATGCGTCCAAATTATGTGTCTCCACCACGGCAACTAAACCTCCCCGCTCCTCGGCTCCGGTCGACCCTCTGAAACTCAAAGCTTTGTCCATGGGCTTGTGTAAGGAGTTGAAGATCCTTCTGTTTAAACTTGAAAGTGCTGGAAGACAAACGTACAACTTATCAGAGCTGGAGGCGAAAAGAATCCCACTGTCAAAGATCAGCATTGAAAACACAGCAGCGGAAGTGATAAGAGCTTGCAAGTGAGTAGCAGAGAAACTCTTTTATTCATTAGTTTAGAGTAGATCCTTATTGTTGTTCCTTATAATGAATTGAATTTTCCTTTTCCCCTAGAGGAACAAGTGTAAAGGGAAAATTCAAGGAGTCCTTCCTGCTTCCTGCCTTCTCCGTCAAACCTAACATTGCCGTTGTGACACCCATTCCTAGAGAGAAGCTAAACCCTCCGACACCCAGCATCTACGTGAGTCCGCCTATTAGTTGTTGCCATACCAGGGGCACGGTTCTAGGGTCGTTGTGTTAGGCTACTGCCGCACAATGCAGCCAAGCACGGCTGTTGTTTCTCTAGTCCTGGTTGTTGCTTAAAATCCCCTGAATTATTTCTTGGAGCCTCTTCTTGAGATCAGCCCGAAGGCTGCCTTATCATACCTTTGGTTTGAGACATCTACAGGTGTTAGTATTTTCCGATTGTTTTTTCAAGATTCAATTCCTTTCACATGTTCTGCATCCAGATGTTCATTTCCAGATGTGTTTCTTTTTTTCCTCAGTTGGAAAGTAAGAGGGACGCTTTCTCTCCAGTTCTGCTTCAGTTCTGCACTGATCCCAAAAATGCTGTCACTGTCATCAGAGGCCTGGCTGGCTCCCTCCGCCTTAGTGAGTTTATACACCATAATCATCTCAGCTAATTTGCCTCCGTCAGTTTTCTCAAAAGAATTGATCGAATTCCATTCAGCACAAATGAGCTTTTTGGTGATTAGCAACACGTTGCCATTAATAAGGGCCTTTTTGTTTAGTGAAAATGATCACACAGGGACAGAGAAAGGAGAATAGAGGAGGCATTTATTATACAAATGTAAGCATTTGTAACTGTTGGCTTACTTTTTTATTGCAGTAGACTTTTACAGGTTATGTTTTAGAAAATTGATAATTTGAGTCATTTCAATAAGAAATGCGGTTTAAAGCTGACCCTGGGCTCAGCAGCATCCTGTAATGGAGTGTCAATCAATAAATCCATCAATCCATCAATCAACCATCTTTATTTGTAAAGCGCCAATTCATAAGAAATATTATCTCAAGACGCTTTACAAAAGAGCAGGGAAAAGTTTCTATTTCTTATATTATCTACAAAGACCCAACGTTAATCCGTCATGAGCACTAAGCAACATTTAGCAAAGTTACAGTGAAAATGAAAACAAGTCCTCTAAGAAGCAGAAACCTTAAGCAGAACCAAACATGATGAACAGCCGAAACTGTGTAGGGATTAAAAAATGGGATAGAGGGAGATGCAGGAAGGATATGGACCAACAGAGCAACAACAACAACAACAACAATGAATACGATAGATTTAAAACTATTTGAATGAGTTTGCTTATTTCAGGGTGTGTCCTTAGCATGATCCAGTATAGACTTATATTTTATATGTTATAACATGATATATCCATATGGTATATCATATGAAATATCGTATAAAATGTTAGAAGGTAGGAACAAGAAATCACATGAATAATAAACTAATAACAAATGAATGCACGATAACTGTTTTCATGAAATATATGAAGAGTATTGACATTTGTAATTATCTAATGATTATCTCTTTCTTCCCCTATGTGAGACCTTGGTCTGTTCTCCACCAAATCGCTGGTGGAGGCCAACGCGGAGCATGCAGTCGAGGTGAGGACTCAGGTTCAGCAGCCGGCGGATGAGAACTGGGACGCCAGTGGTTCATTGCAGACCTGGCCCTGTGAAAGCAGCCGCTCACACACCACCATCGCCAAATACGCCCAGTACCAGGCGTCCAGTTTCCAAGAGAGCCTGCAGGTAGACATTTCCCCTCATAGGAAACACTTGCACACAAATGGCTTGATTGACCCCACACCAGTCTGAATTGCAACGTTCTTCCAAATGGAAACCAACCAGAATGTTTGAGAAATATGTTTTCTACTTGTGTTTGATGTGGGTCTGCCCAGGGCTGACAGCAGCAGACAACAGCAATGCAGTACACTTAGTGTTATTAATATATTTGTCCACAGTTAGGTTGGTCACACAGGAGTCCATTAAAAAGCATTCCTCCCATATCCTGCATTTGTATGGCAATTTCCACAGAATGCAGAGTATGCACATATCAACTCTTCAATATGTTATTACGTTTTATTCATCAATGGCTGGTAAAACTATACAGACTCCACCACCTGTCTTAGGTATACAATTCTCTTTTCCACATCCACTTTATCCAGGACTGACCTCCAAAGTGAGCTGTGTAGTGATGCATACATTTTCATGTGTTGGCCAATCTGTCCGCTAAGCTCATGTAGATATGTTATAGGAGGAGAAGGAGAGTGAGAATGAAGAGGAAGAGGAAGGGGAAGAGGACAAGCCCTCAGATTCGTCACCCAACACCAAAGCTGGTTTGACCCTCGCCAACAGTAAAAGCAATCCGGCCTCAACTACCATTAAAGCCGATTCTGGCCTTGTCACCAACACACCCGGGTAAATGTGATTCATTTGTTCGAAGAAAAAAAAACGGTTTAAATGTCTAAAATACAACGGTCTCATTTTTTTCTTCATCACTTTCAGCTCCGAGCAGAAGTCAGCAGGAAAGATAATCAAATTCGGGACCAATATTGATCTCTCCGACCCTAAAAGGTGTTATTGTGTTGTTCAATTCTTCCCACGTTGCTTGATCTCCTTGAGTCATCCGTATTGTTTACCCTTGATGGTCATGTTTTTTTTTTTTGTTCGTAAGGTGGAAGCCCCAGCTGCAGGAGCTGCTGAAGCTGCCAGCCTTCATGCGCGTGGAATCCAGCAACAACATGCTCAGTCACGTCGGTCACACCATCCTGGGCATGAACACGGTCCAGCTGTACATGAAAGTGCCGGGCAGCCGCACGCCAGGTCAGTGAGTGTCCAACAACCCAATGAAGCAGTAGTAATCTGTAAATGATCCTCACCAAACTTCATCACTCATACCATACTGTATACATAAACAGGAAAGCAGAGCAGGCTGTTTCAGTTTCTGTTGCTAGGTGCTGAAATATTCTCCTGTTCTATATTGATAATATCAAATTATATGTAAGGACCTTTTCATTTTCTTTCATTGTAACAACTGCAATTCACTCTGATGTTACCCAACAAATAATTTGCTCCGTCCATTTTAATCTTATTTCCCATGTGATCCTTCTGTTAATACTTTAGATTTTCTAAACTCTTCTCACAGCCTGATTTATGACTTACATTCTGCTGTTTTATTTACATTCCTTAACCAGTTAAATCGAAACAGTCTTCAACAACTGTGCTTCTCTGATGAAGTCGCTGGACTACATTTGACTTCAGATGTTTGAATCCGTCTTTGCTTGTCTTCTCAGGTCATCAGGAGAACAACAACTTCTGCTCGGTCAACATCAACATCGGGCCTGGGGACTGTGAGTGGTTTGCCGTCCACGAGCACTATTGGGATGCCATCAACAACTTCTGTGAGAAGTGAGTGAAGGCACTTTTAGATTTAACAATAGATACATCCGGAAGTGTATGTCTTTCATTGTTGCCAATTGTCTCCCTCCTAGGCATGGAGTGGACTACCTCACAGGGTCCTGGTGGCCAGTCCTGGAGGACCTCTACAGCTCTAATATCCCCGTATACCGCTTCATTCAGAGGCCGGGAGACCTTGTGTGGATTAATGCGGGGACTGTTCACTGGGTGCAGGCAGTGGGCTGGTGCAACAACATCGCCTGGAACGTGGGGCCGCTCAACTGTGAGTTAAAATGAGGATAGAAGAAGAAGAAGAAGAAGCAGAAGATCAGTTTAGAACTTGATCATCAGGTGCTCTGTTTCTCATAAGGTAAATATGCAGTGAAATATGCAGCCCACTTTTCAACCTCCCCTCCGTTTGTGTATTTTCTCTCCCAGCGTACCAGTATCAGCTTGCCCTGGAGCGCTTTGAGTGGAACGAGGTGAAGGAGGTTAAGTCAATCGTTCCCATGATCCATGTCTCCTGGAATGTGGCTCGCACCATCAAGATAAGCGACCAGGATACCTTCAAGATGATCAAGTAATGTCTTCATGCCCATATCTGTGTGTATATGTGCGTGAGGGTGTGTTTGTTTAACGTCTCCACAATCTGCTCGTCTGTCTCCTTTAGACACTGCCTGATACAGTCCATGAAGCACATCCAGATTCTCAGAGACCAGCTGGTGGCAGCAGGGAAGAAGATCTGCTACCAGAGTCGAGTGAAGGATGAGCCGGCGTACTACTGCAACGACTGTGATGTGAGTCCTTCATCCGTGTGTCTGTACGGTAAACTGAGCTTTTCTGGATCAGATAATGGACTGTAACGGTTTCTTTATGTGTGAAGGTGGAGGTGTTTGACCTGCTGTTTGTGACCAGTGAGAACAGCAGTAAGAAGAGCTACGTGGTGCACTGTGAGGACTGTGCCCGGGCTAAGAGCCCATCGCTGGCAGGAGTTGTGGTGCTGGAACAGTATCGGATAGAGGAGCTGATGAAGACCTACGACAGCTTCGCGCTGGTCAGTATCACTTTCTAACTTGTGCTGTGAGTGATGCCAGAAATCTCCTGGCTTTGAGGAAGATTCTGAAGCTAAATAAGGTACAAACAGGACCCTGTATTTCTTCATTGATATACTTTTTTTCTTCTAATGTGCAAAGGTGCACGGCGGTATGACACATAACTTTTACAGCATCAAAGAAATGCAACACTAAAGACGTAGTGTTAGTTTTCTATAATTATGTTTCTTTACATTTTCAATGAGGAACACTACAATTATAGCCGGATGTTGTTTGTATCAGTCACCCAATGGTTCAGCTCATATTGTTTAAGAATGAAAGCTAGCTTTGAAGCTTGTTTGAAATTGTTGACTCATCACATTGAATACTTCAAGTTTACATTATGGTAGCTTTATTGTGACGTTACAGGCAAGGACTTTTTAATGAAGTCTTTGAGCTGCTCATGTTAAAGGATAAGTTCAGGATTTTAAGTCAGCCTAAAAAAAAAACATTGAAAACAAAAAAGCAAAAGAAAAAAATACACATTCCCCTTGTTTGACTTTTTTTAGCAGCAGACTTTGAAATCTTCAATGCACTTCACAGGGCAACTTCTGAAACAGCGTCTGCTTGCAGCTGTCAGACAGTCAAAGTGTATTCTGTATAACGCAGTAATGCAAACTGAATATACACTGAGGTGGAATCATTACAGAAACCAGGGCACATTTCAAAGGGATTTTGATGTCTGATCTACTTTGTGTGGGAAAGAAATGCATGCATGAGTCTGAAGAACCTGTTGAATACAAACATAATCCCAAAAGTACATATCATCAGTTTTTTGTTTAGATTTATTTGTGGGCTTTTTGTGCCTTTTTTGTAGAGACAGGACAGTTGATAGAGTCAGAAGATCAGGGAGGGAGAGAGAGTGGGGAATGACATGCGGGAAATGAGCCCCAGATCAGATTTGAACCTGGACTGCACACTTGGATGACTATAGCCTACGCAAGTGGGGCGCTTGAGTAACCACTAAGCTACCGGCGCCCCATATCATCAGTTTCGATAGTGTATATTTCAGTTTGTATAGAAGAAACTCTGATTAGACTTTTAGGTGATATGTTTCACTTGTTTAATTCATTATGACGGGGATTCTCTAACATCCAGACAAGATGTATTTCACAAAAAAAGACATTGTCATTTTTGTGTCTCGTATCACGTCCACATCATAACTACATGTGCAGTGTAAGTGTCCAGCTGAGCTCTCTCTCTCTCTCTCTCTCTCTCTCTCTCTCTCTCTCTCTCTCTCTCTCTCTCCCCCTTCAGGCTCCAGCTCCCTGTTCAAAGTGACGACTCCTCCCCGGTGTCTTTCAGCCATAAAACCAAAACGCTAATGGCAACACAAGCGTTGTCTTCAAGGCAATCTATTTGTGAAAAAAAAACACTCCCTGAATCAGCCAATCACATTTCCTCAGTATTGTTTACATCACACAATAAGGTATGGATACTCAGCCAATCCAACTCTAGCTCACTGTCTTCCCCATACCAGCTGCTGATTGGACGTGGGTTTTGAAATAGAATGACTAGACTGGTACTCTTTAATGCAAAGCATTTCAGAACTGTACAAAAAAAAAAAAAAAAAGAAGAAGAGCACTGCTAGCACTGAAAATCAGGTTATATGTTTAACGGACACTGCTGTGATTCTAAAGCGTCAAGTAGCCGGTTCTGTGAGTTAATTCAGGTACTTTTATGCAAATTCAGTAGAACTTTTTTACACCAATCTAGTTATTCTATATGTCCATGAATTTGCTGTGATTCTGTTGTACCAGCAGGGGAATGGCTTCACAAGAGAAGTAGCTGATTGTCACATTTGACATCACATTTGCTTTCTGTTTTTTTTTAGTATTCAGGTGAACTCTGGCATTTGTAATACCCGTCTGTATACTCTTTGAGGTGCTATTCCAATCCTATTTATTCTCGTTAGGTATTTAAAAAGTTTTACCAGCCTAGAAGTACACCACATTGGCCTTGCAAACTGTATTTAGAGGAGAGGTAATTAGAGGATTAAAAAACACACAGAAAATAAGGTTTTATGTAAAAAACTAAACTTAAAAAAAACTAATCAAAACTTTTCTCAGTTTCTCTAAAATACGGGTTCACTAGAGGACTAATATGGTTTCATCCTTAGTTGGAAATCAGCTTTTAGATGGAAGGTTTGGTTTTGTTTGTTTTCATCACCAGTCCAGCTAATTTCGTCGTCGGTGTGGTTTCTTTGATACAGGCATGGTGTCGTTTTTTTATAGTTTTGAATGGGAGAACAATCCCAGTTTTATACCTCTTTTGTTGCTATATTCTCATTTGTAGATGACAGAGAAAATAAATACTTGTAAATTGTGAATGAATTTATGATATACCCACGGTGGTGTGCATAGACTTGTGGGCAGGGCGGTGCTATCAGTGAAGTGCCGGTTAGTGTGAGAAAGTAATATGTCCAAAGAGACACACAATCATAATCTTATAATGCAAAAGCCAATGAGGATGAACAGACTGACTGGCACCTCACACTGTTTTCTCAATCTTCCCCAAACATCCACTCTGAACAGGATCAGGAGCTCCGTGCGTCAGGAGATGTGGCATACTAGTTCAACATGTTAAGAGCATATGCAGTGTTTCCCCTACCATTATCTAAGGGGGGCGCCTGACATCAACTTTATTTTTTATTTTTTTTATTTTATATAAAGTGCCAGATCACAACAGAAGTAATTTAAGGATACATTTCCTAAAGAACAGGTCTGTTACCTTGTCCTTTTAATAAACTAACTAAATAGCCTTATGTTATTTATCTTATTTACACAGCGGCATTTCATTTCTCTCTACATGTGCACAGACAGACACACACACAAACACACACACGCACACACACACACACACACACACACACACACACACACACACACACAGAGGTGAGCACACTCTCACCAGCGGAGAGTGCGTGTCGGAAAGTATGTCGTGTCAACCACCTGAAAGCATATTAAGAGGCTCTGGAAATGTTGTTCCAGAAGCCCCTCCCAGCCCCCGCCCCCAAAAAACTGTAAACCTAGGGGAAACACTGAACTGAGACTTGGCTCAGACATCATTTCTAATTGTAACAGCCCTTCAATTGAAAACATCATAGTCCAATCTTTGGCTGTGAATGTGGCTATTGTGGAAGGGCTACACTACTTCAAAGTAGAGCGCGACTTTTAGGTGATAGTGACATTATTGGATAGTTCTTTATGTGTAAAAAAAAAAACTACTGATGGTGACACTACTTCATTACTGTATCCTTAGACTAGAACAATCTGCAAGCACATGTTTATTTGCTCTGGCGTATTTGACCTGGCTCCATCCTGTTCTGGCAGATTACAATCAGGCACAGTTCAGGTCAGCCTGATCACAGCTGTTTATCTTATATTGTGTGTGTTTAAGGGCCATTGAGGCTTTTTTGTAAACAAACAAGATGACTACCACTGATATGGAACTTTCTGAATTCACAAACTTTTTGTTATTATACTGTAGTCGCTTTGTAGTGATCTCACAGCAATATCTCATCTACCACAAGATATTTTCAGCTTACCTTCCAGGCTCCCATCTCACAGACAAACGTGTAAATTCTGTTCTTTAATTCAATCATTCATTCTGTTCTTAAATGGCAGACACTGGCCCTCATGTATCCAACGTATCCGTCTGTGTCTGAGAGTCATTAGATCATACTGCAGTGCCTGTTACGACAGACAGAGTTAGAGGTGCACAGATTTATTGTTAGATAAGATATTGCACCTCAAAAGTATTTTATATTACGCTCCACCTCAAACAATCTCTGTATATCTCGGCTACATCGCTTTTTAAATAACGTTGAGCAGTGCGATCTGTCAGGTGATTTCTTTAGTTGTGTGTTATTTTTGATGAATTCATGTTTTTTTTTTAATCGTTTTACTTGTTTTAGATTAGAGAGGCTTCTTTCAGTAATTACATGTTGAAAGTTCCCATGCGCACAGGAATATCACTGCAGAAATATTGAGACAAAAACAGGTACTTTAAAAGGACGGGCAAATCTCCAGAGGAAACTAAATACAACGTTTAACCTCTGAAGAAGGAAATGTTTAAGAATACAGAACATCATCGTTCGATCATAACTAATCGGTATGTCCGGAGATTATAATAATCAATGATACGCTGAAGTGAGACTTCAGGCCAGACTACATGTGACATAATAACGAATAAAGAAATCTGGGGGCTGTAATTGCTACTACTGTATTACGTATCTCCATGCCGTAAACTCAGGGGTAGAGGACAGCTGAACTGTGACTATATAGGGGCATGGTATTAAAATGACGATCGTTTCCAGCCGCCACACTTATCAACACCGGTCACCCGTACGCTGTGATCAGCCAGATACACACATTTTATAGGTCACCACGTTGACCCTGTCGTACGATGATTTCTACACCTAAATCTGCTCTGGTTTCTACACCAGATTAATAAGTGAGGGCCAGACTGTGAGCAATGATGGCCCTGACTTCAGTATTGTTAGGATTTAAATTTACACTGGCACCTCATCAACTGTTACAACTAAGGGAAAGAAAAGTCTCACCAAATGTTCCTGTTGTTGAAACTAGCTATCCATTCTAGTAAATAACATCTACATCCTGATTGGTTGTAATATCCAGAGGCATTTTCTCTGCAACCGTAGACAACACCTGTTGAACATTTCAAAATACATTGAGATGTTTCAGATTCATTTTTGGCTTAAATTGGTTCAAATTGCCATAAACCTTGTTTGCTGCGTCTTCTTTTATATATCAGCAAACATAAGCACAAGTAGCTGCAATAAGCTGATATTTCAGCCTGGATGATATTGGTCTAGCTCTACTTTCAAGTGCATTCAAAAGCTTTTGTTCCTTCATATAATACGATTGTTGCTTCATTGGACTGTATACATGAGTTAAGTCCAATCTTTAATTACTTAAATTGATGTTAAGCATAATCAAATCTCAGTGATCTAAGCCCTGCCCGTATCAGTCTGTGCACCCCATTCACTGTACATATTGTATCTGTTTTCAGGTTTACTAGAAGACTTCTGTAGTTTTGTTCTCAGTCAGATATCTAATTTGTATATGGTCAAAATTTGTCCACCTCAGTCGCTTGTTTTTGTTTTTGTTGTTGCTATATTATAAAAACACCCAGAAAATATCCTGTGTCACTCTAGTTTAAATTACTGCAATGGGAGTTTTTGTTCCCACTTTTATACCTCTTTTTGTTGACAGTTTCTGTTTTTTGGATTACAGAGAGAATGGAAAATTGTAAATGGTGACATTATTTATACTGTATATGGTTGTTTTCTTATATATTTATTGCATATCAAAGGGTACTTCATTTGATAAGAGCCTAAAAGGTATTTTAATGATGTAGTATGGTCATAGTGTGTGGGGCAGTGGAAGTGCAATTGGGGGACAGTTAAATGTTCATGGTGCTAGCCCCCTCCTTGCCTCAATGCCCCCTTATTAAAAAGCATATAATGATGAATGATCAAAAGTCAGTGATACAACTCAATCCACTGGTTGGTGCTTAGAACCTTTTCACAACAGTAACTGGTAACAGAAATGAACTGATGTCTTTGTACTGTAAGTAACAGATGAATACGAGATCTTTTTAAAATGTTTTCTTTTCCATTGTATGAAATTCATTATCTTGTGAGGCATTAGTGGTTTTCTGAAGAGCATTAGCAGTAGTTGTAATTATTGACACTTTTACAGAGACTTTTAGGGATGTGACTTTAAATGACGTCGAAGGTTTCGTTTTTTCTCTGTGTCTCGTCCTCATCATTATTATTCGTAGTATTTTTTGAAGGATGTAATAATGCTCTTTTATTCCTCTTGACTTGTTTGATTTCTGCTGCACTTATTGTTTCTAAAAGAACTCACATAGAAGAAACCTGAGCCAGACCTGTCTTAAATCCCTCTGTGATTTTTCTGTGACATACTGTATTGTTGTTGGATGAAATAAAATGTTTTGATAAATTATTCAACAATGAGTGTTTGCCTCTGATTTCCTTGCAGTAGTCTGACTCAATGAATTTCATTGATCCAGTTCTGGCAAGTGTCATTCTCTCTATGAAATTGTTCATGGTGGCATGATGGATGGGAGGTTTAAATAGTATAATTATGCTTGTGTAGGTGGAGATGGTTCATCATCAAATGCAAAGATGAAATGAGAGAAATATTTCTACCATCTTACCGACCATATAATGAAACCTGGGATGCAAGATTTAATACAATTCTGCATATCGATTCAAATAAAGGCTGAGAAATGTTTTCAGAGAGACCATTTTCATTTAACAGTTTGCATAATATTTTGAATAACCCATTTTTGTACATGTTTTTACTGAACCATTGTATGTAACAGTCTTTCAGGGAGGCAGTGTTTTGGGTTGATTGTCTCCACCTTAGACTTCTTTAGCCGTGCTATCATGAAGACACTGAGTGAGGGAGTGTATGGAATTCAAGTCATCTGTAAATAATGATATAATTGTGAATCATCTGCATAGTTATGGTTGTTCATTTTGTGCTTCTGAATAAATATGTGTGAGTGGGAGCAAATAGAGATTAAATAGAAGTGGTCCGAAAATTGATCTTTGAGGAACACCACACAGCAGACTGACTTTGTTAGAGGAACAGTCTCTAATGGAAACAAAAACACTGACTTTCATGAAGGTGGTTTCTGAATCATTTAGGGTTGGACCTGACAAGCCCACCCACTTTTTCTAACCTGTGCAGGAGTATGACATGGTCTACTACGGTATCAAATGCAGCACTGAGATCCAGAGGTATAAGAACATGTAGTTTGTTGGAGTCTGTGTATTATTGGAGATAATTTACAACTTTGATAAGTGCTGTCTCAGTGCTATAGAGGCACCGGAAACCTGACTGATAAATATCTTCAGTACAAAGTTACTTGATGCAAGATTTTTTCGAGTAATTTGCTGAGGATTAATAAGGTGGAGCTGGGCCTGTAATTATATCGGCTGATGCACCATTTTGGTCAAGAATGATAAAACTTTTGGATATAGAATCATGCAATGTTGTACTATCATTATTTGTACCCTGACTTTCCCTCTAACACCTCTAGCATGAAAAATGTTTCCCCTTGTGTTATTTGCCAAAACAATTCAGACACATTTAAATGATTCCTAGAGGAAGTATCCATTTATGTCGGGAAATGCCTAACTTTGTGCCATCAAGACAATCATTCAAATTAATGTCCCCCTGAAAATGTATTGTACTCACTTTGGGGATCTGCTAGACTATCTTCTAGTGTGTTAGCATTTAGCTCCAACAACCCCTGTGTAGGCTACATCCTTAGAATCAGAATCGGTGCAAAAACAGTTAACAAAGGGAAAAAAACAAAATAGCACGATGTTAAATAAAATCAAATAAATAGAGCTATAACATGGCTGTAAACTTTTACACGGAGTCTTGCTTTCTATTTAAGTCTATTAGACTGTGACAGTGGGGTTGCTTACATACTTCACTGCTTTATGACATGCTCTGTTTAGTACCATAGGTTTTCACCACAGTTAAAAGTCTTTCACTTTAATTAAGTTTATATCCTACAGTACTGTTTGTCAGGACTTAGTAATTTCTTTCTTGTATTAACCTCTGTAGTGAGTCTGAGCTGACGCAAGCTTTTCTGCAGACAAAGTTCAAACATTGACATGTTACAGCTGCTATTCAGTTACAGTCTGCAGCCGCTAGGTGGCTCCACTGGCCTTGTTTGGGGCTTACTTTAGAGTTGAGGGCGAGGGAGGAGAGAGCTAGCTCTTTTGTTTTTCCCTTCAACATTTCTCTGATACTATCTTGTCAGCACTAGTATCATGCTGCAGCTTCTCCTTTGATTTGGAGGCATTTGAATGTAAAAGAAACAGAAAGTTATTTAATAATAACATATCACAACTAATTGAAATTTCTGTCTTTTTAGGCAGTGATGTTGCCAAGATGATTGGACAAAGGTGGGTTACAGATTCTGAACTTGTTTTTATGCTGCCAAAGATACAAACCATGTTGTAAACTTGATATTAGCATAGGAAAAAAAATAATCCAGGTTTTAAAACAGCAATTTAACTACCCCCCGGCTTAATATTCGAAGTGTCACATAAATCTGTCGTCTCTTTCCACGAATAAAGCCGATATATATCTTTGATGTGGCTATTTATGCCTTTCTGACCAAACTGAATCACCAGTGTTAGAGGACATAAGGTTGCAGATGTGGGGACATCTCCTCTAAACATGGTCACAGCAGCGGATATCCCGGTTCCAAGGACAGGAAGGCCGCTCTTCCTCTACCCACCCCCCTTGACATTGACATACACAGCCCACTGTGGCATTGTTAATGTTAAAATCACCCATTCCTCATACATTTCTCACTAATTCCTCTGACTCTTTGATCATATTCCCTTGTACTGACTGTTTTAATAGCCTCAATCTCTCCCGGGAGTGTTTATATCTACTCCTGTGGAGAAACAAATAAACAACAATGCCCAGAGAGGGGTGAAAAAAAAAGATTTCATATCGAAATGCTCATTTCACCCTTTGAACTGAACCCCTCAGGTTTCTTATCAGTCCCATGATAGCCAGTTTTCTCCTCCAAATTAGTCAGTGTGCCCCCCTCCCTCCCCAATCCTCATTTCCTTATGTTTTCTGAGAGCAAAGCTCTGTTTTTCATCAGCAGGTCAGGGGCCAAACCTCAGAAACTCCTGCTTTTGAGAAAGATCTGAAGCAACTCCGCAAATCTGGATAGCTTTTAAACTTCTTTGACAGTTCTGTATGTGCGCTATTTTTTTGTTTTTGTAGTGGAAGCAAGCATACAAAGTTCAGTTATAAAGCACATGTCATGGACAATAACACAGTGCTTCAGATTTAAACAAAGAGAGGGGAAATTAAATCAAAGGTTATACTTTAAAAAAAAAAGACCAGGCAAAATATTGTAGTTTCCCATCATGCTTTGTGTTGCATGGTTTATCAAGCTTATTAATTATGTTTCTGAGCATGCATGTATGACTTATTGTTTGTTTTTTTAATGCCAGTATTCAGATGGTGTTGTTTCATGCAGTTAGATGGCATTTAGTATTAATCTGTAGGTTTTCTACAGCTTAACCATAAGTGAGGAGACTATTGCATTTCATCAAGAAAAGTGTAACAACTAGACATGACATCTGCAATAGTGTGTCTTAAAACCAGTAATATTGCACGTAAATATGCAAAAGCTGCAACCTCTCCTGACAAAGTTGCTAAAGTAAAACCCTAATAAAACATAGGAGGGCCACAGACATTGGACATTGATTAAGAGCTACATATTATTATGATATGATCATATCTTCAACAGGGACAGCCATGTGTTTCAGAACGTTAAGAACCTTGGTTCACAATAAAGTCCTTCTTTTAGCTTCATTTAATTTAAAAATGTATTCTGAAATAAATTTGTGGAACAAAATTAAAGAAGACGGTATGTGATGAAAACATCTTCACTATATTTAAGGCTGGAAGCAGCAGCTCTGGGTAGAGAGTTTAAAGAATTCTTGCGTTCCAAATGTGATGGGGTTTACGAGGATTTATACATTCAAAAATAGCTTTGTATTTGTTGTAGGAAGCAAAAAGGAGAATTAATAGTGATGTCCTTTTGTCCAGTATAGTGTGCAGTTGTGGTGAGAGAAGCACAGCCAATATCTAATGTAACAGTCCACCTTTTTTTTTTTTTTCCACATGTAGTTTTAAAAGCAGCTCATTTGTCTTTGATTTTGAAACTCCCCTTATCAGCTTTGGTCAGAGAAAAGGAGAATGTTCTCAGTGAGGGTGTAAAGTGTTGAGAATTGGACAGCATACCCTTACTCCTCTAATCTGTCCAAATACACACTCATCCTCCCTTCCCCCCGGGTTCCTGGGGTTATCACACAAACCCCCCCCCAAGCTCATGCCCAGACACCAGCAGCTGCCTCTAACACAGCCCACTTGCATCACCGGTAACACAGGATACACACTCACACACATACACGCACATACTCGTAACCGCTTACGCACTCAATCATATCTCAAACTGGAGTCGGAGTGAGGAAACAGAATGTCAGGGAAGGAAGCGCTGAAGCCAGTGGGAAAGCACAATTCGCCTCACGTCTGCAGGGCTCCTTTCTGACCGGCTCTGTGAGGGAGTTCAGTTTGGAGTTTGGATTTAAAGCAGGAGGGAACTTTCTCATTTTTTAGGCCTGAATTCAAGAGGAGGAAACTTAAGGTTTAAGTCAATTGAAACTGAAGCTCACTTGGATACCAGCCTGAGAAAATCTGGATTTTCAAACAGAGAAGACACACATCAGGAGGAAATTCTTGAAATTCTCTTTGTCTCTGACCACTCACCGCTCTCCAGGTCTCTCAGAGTGCCATCATCTGTTGCTTCCATCCAACTACAGGACACTCTAACACGTTCGACACACAGTGAGTAACCAACATTATGACACTACTCTTTTTTTAATAGAACCATCTTTAAAAAAAAAAAAAGGGAAAAAAATGAGCAATCTTTTTCCTGAGCCTAACAAATTGGGACATTGAAATATTCTGAAACTGTTTCTTGGTTTATGTTATTCCTGGGTTTCCTTTTTTATATTCCTGAGGTTGATTAAACAACAGGGCCGTGTGCATGACGTCATTGGAAGGCAAGTGTTTGAGCTGCTCGATGATTGAATGGAAGACATACGTAGGCCTACTGTGCTGACAAACTCTCACTAACAGAACCTCTCCAAAGATTAATTCACATTCTCGGAACAATTGGAATCCTTTGTTTTTTCAATGAAATCGAATCTAAAGGCCATATAACAAGAATTCCAGAACATTTTCTTAATGATCAAAAGTCTTATTCTTGGGGTCTTTATACGTCCTGGAGGAGATATTTATCTTTTTTTTTTTTTAAATATAAATCGTAGTGTCTCAAATCCTATAATGCATGCGTCCGGTTTTAGGGCAGATTATGTCTTCATGGAGCATC